AGAACTCAAGGAAATATCTCTTGAAGTCAGTCACTAGTGATCATATGATTACAGATCAGAGGGGTTTTTTGGAGAATTTAGTAGTGACTGACGTCAAGAGATATTTCCTTGAGTTCTAGTGGGAAGCAGTGGCCAGTTGAGTTCTACCAAGTCTGTTGTAGAGATATCAACTCACTGAAGACAATTGGTGAACGGTAGCACAAAATCGTGGATTGGTTGAAGTTAGACATTAACACCGTTGGACGCCGGCCCAGTGGTCTATCGGTTAAGGGCTCTGGCTCGAGACTGGTAGGTCCTGGGTTCGAATCTCGCGAGTGCGGGATCGTGGATGCTCACTGATTAGGAGTCCCATAATATGGCGAAACGGCCGTCCAGTGCTTCCAGGTTTTCCTTGGTGGTCTAGCTTCAATTGACTCATGATTTCAATAGTGAAAATACCAAATTCTCTACAAAACTCCCTCCGATCTATAGATGAAATACCGATAACAGAGACATCCTTTTGACAAATTATTAGCTTTTTGCTATTAATTAATAATGTATAAATTGTCTAAGAGAAGTTTGTTAATTGCACAGTACAGAGACCCAATTGTTGAGGCTATTTGAGTAGTTTGTGTTTATATTTATTTTTATAGAGTACTACCAATAACTAATAAGTAATAGAGATCTTTTCCTTTTGATGAGTTTATGAGTTTGTAATATAATTGTCAATACTATAGTGAAAACACGTGGATACATAATTGGGAATCAGGTTGAGAACTATCGGAACCTTAACCAATATAATTCTATTATAATTCTATGCCCCTTTGGAAAACATTTTGAAGAATACACAGTATATCTGAACGAATGAACCACTATTAACTTTTAGAGGTTATATTTACTAAACAACCCTGTTTGGAATGCATTGTGTGAACCAGTATATGTTGTAACCTGTAGATCATGCCCCTAAAAATGGCGTGTACTTCCCCCTGTAGAAATATATTATTGTCATTTGAAAAAAAGTTCTTCATTTTATCAGAGCAACAGAAGCTTTGTTTATGCTAAAGTAGTTTGCATGTTAAGTTAACTGTCAACCTTATTTTCATCCAGTCGGCCTGCAACTATGAGGACAGAAACCCTGAAACTAAGGAAACTTGGTGCAAACAGGTTAAAATTCGCAATTTTTCTTCACGAGATATGTGAATGAAACGTTCAGTCATAGTTCGCTCTTCTTTATCACTATTCATGACATTAAGTATTTCTTAGATCCGAACTAAAGTTCAGGCTGAATAACAACTATCTGGGTAGTTTAGACATGCACTACTGCTCAGTTGAAAGCAAAACAAGGGGATTGGGAAAATAATGCGTGTCTAAACTACCCAGAAAGTTATTCCTCAGACAAACTTTGGTTTGGATCTAACAGTTGTAAACAAATATTACCGTTCTGTTATTCAACCAATAATTGTTCTCCCAATAATCGATCGAGCGCACCAAAAAATAAATGTTATTCCACCCTTTCTGGATAGATCGCGTAAAATTCCATTCAAAAGATAATATTTTGTTGTTTCATGATAAGTCTTGCTGATTGAACGCCATATTCGGATCCTAAGTAAGTCTCGTAACCCTCAAGCTAGAACTACACAGCAACTTGAACACGAGAGAAAAGGCGCGAAATATATGAGAAGCACTTTACTCCAAAGGTTCATTTATGCACAGGAAATATAGGGTTTTTATAGTATTTTAGAAGTCCATGGGTTACCCTGAAAATTCTAGAATACTACTAAACATAGTAGCAGTTTAGTAATCAGTCAATCAAAACCTTGACATGTGACTTTTCATTTTCAAGATATTTATAGCAAAACTTCTAATCAAAGGCTGATTGGATAAAAAGCTTCTTAATGTTTCCTGAGCTTGTCATGTCTGTTGCGAAAAATTTTCAGGATCATCTGGCCATTTTCTAACAGTGTTTCCAATTCTGAAAAAGTGCTTCAATCCACAATCAAAATGCACAATGCGGATCAACTCAAGCAGCACAATCAAAAGTGGGAACAATCAATATGGCAGCCACCAACTAAAGCAACATAAATGCCGTTTTGGTAGAAACATAGAAACTCAGTGAGGGTGAAAGAAAACTGAAAAAAACTATAATAAAATAGACTATTACCGTCTCAAATGGCTTCAAAAAGACTAACAAAAGGTTCAGCTAATGAAACCAATAAGAACAAGTTGTAAATGTATAAGTGGACAAATTTTCATGCCCAAACCCTTCAAAATGGATCTTACAGCAGCCCACAAAATCCCTCCATGCTTAACAAGACACTTTGATGCTTTTGGTCATGGTTCGTTCTATAGCATAGTCCACACTATAGGAACGAGTAGGAGTTACAGCAGTACTCCTATATCTACTATCCTAACCTTTCCGTTTGTATCTATTTCGCAGCCTTCAAGTACTCCTAAAGGCAACCTTCCACGGGTCAAAACGTCTGAAGCCACGATTACTACATCTCCTGAAAATTGCGGTATTCAACTAACCATTTTTGACGTATTTGTACGGACGGTAAATATTCCCTTAGCCACCTTCTCCAAAACATGTTTGGTAGATAATTAACATTTTCTTCCCCCACTAAATATTGTTGGATCCTCAAGTCCTTGCTTCTTATCTAAACTAACATTTTTTACCCCATCTGCTACTGAATCACATCTAGAATCACTATTACGATAATTTACCCTATCTGAGGCTGAACCATGGAACATAATGACGTCAGAAAACACTTTTTTGTAGAACATGATTCTTCATTTAACCTGACTCCATCAGCACCGACAAGTTTGAAAACTGACTTCCTTTGACGAATGTTTGGCATCCCGAGTAAAGCTACCAAATATCTTTCGAAACGATAATTGAAATCTAGGTGTTGGTCAGGCAACTTCGATCAATCGGTACTTGTTTAGAATTGTTAGATCCCAACCAAAGTTTGGCTGAGGAATAACTGCCTGGGTAGTTTAGACACGCGTTATTTTCTCAATCCCCTTGTTTTTCCTGTCGTCACTCTAGAACACGTATAAGAGACCAAACTGAATGCCCTTCTGAGATCCATTGTAGTAAAATCGATTGAGATGTTTTCGTTTTGACTTTCTTTCTGTACTCAAGGCTGAGGATAGTAGGTCTGTTGGAGTGTATTAATCCTGAGGGCACACCTTTCATTGGGGATCTGTTTTTTCTTGAAGGTGATACGTCACTGTGCTCTACACGAGTCCTCCATCAGACCGAAGCATTTCTACGTTTGAGGGCAGAACACTAATCATGAAACAGTCTATCGAAAGTCATTAGGGTCAGGAATAACTAATTCGAATTATCCACTTGCACGACATCGACTGATCCTTGTGGCAGTAGTTCATACTGATTCTCAAGCCTATTCTTACCGATAGATTTCACCAGTAATATCAGGTTTGTCACATACAGAAATAATTATCGGCACAGCACTTGGACGTGACTAATGGGTAATCCATGATAGGTATTCACGGCGAGGTGACTTCGACGTAGGCCAGGTCATGCCATTCCCATTCAACTTGACTAGACCAAAACTATCCACATAAATCATCTACATTAGTGATTAGCAAACTTTTTCAGGTGGAATTCTCCAGTTACCATTTACTGAGTGAAAGAAACGGAGTTTCACTTTGAGTTTTTTCGGTCAAGGTTTTTAAACCTCATTTCTGGGGCCGGTGAGATGACTATCCTGAAGATGCCGCAGGTATTTGGAGTTTGACAACACTTTAGCTGGTAACACATATTGTTGAGTCGTACCCATCCAGTGAAATCAAAAGTTAGAAGCTAGGAGGTTTGAGGATATATTTAATAAAGTTATCAATATATCGAGAAGTGACTGATCTGATCTGGTTAGCGGTTGTAGAAGTAAAGCACGGCGTTCCCACTCGTGATCTGGTGCAGATGCGTGACCGAGCGCTTTCCGTTAGGTGAGTTCATTAACACTAATATGGTCAGCGTCAAATATCGAAGACTTACAGAGCTATTGATTTTAGGGATTTATTTACCACTACAATCCAGAAGTGTAGTAAAAAGATAAGACATATACTATCTAGGCAACTTTGTAATACATTGTAAGATCACTTCACGTTCTTTCGTAAGATGAGGGGAAAAGATTTAATGGTTTTAAACGCTCATGGCATTCATGACTTAGATTCAATTTTAGGCTTAGGGATATAATATTCCGTTAATGGTGTGGTGGCATCCACTAAAATGTACAATGCGCACTAACTTTGGTGCTATCTGACTAATTTGCTTTAATCAGCTAAGAGATCAGAGTGATCAACCTTACTGTTTATTTATGTCCGAACTTTCCCAAGACAGATTGTTGATAACTTAAGCAACATCATTAACTCCTTAACACAATAAATGAGCGATGGTGGACCTAAAATAGGTCCCTGTGGCACTTCACTTTCAACTTTCTATTGCATTTGACCGCAGAAGTTTCTTACCAATTATTCCACATCTGCGACACTCCCCAGTAAGTCATATGCAAAAGAGCTTGGTGAATACCATATTGAAATCTATGAATACAACCTAAATAATCAAATTATCTTCGGTCGCCCTCCGGTCTTCTCTTACAATCAGTAGATTGGTTAAACAGAAACATCTATTCCTATATTTTAATTGGTGAATAATGGTTATCCTGAATCTCGTAATGCAAGACGAGAAAAATGTCACGAAAGAACTAGAAATATAAGTCAATAATCAGTTTATATTATTTGACAACCTATATTAGACATTGTTAAAATGTAGGGGTAGTTTAAAGCATAACGTTGTGACACGTTTGTGACCTTTCCCGTTTGAAGGTCTAGTTTGGACTGTCTACTTTTCTTAAACCTCATTTACACTGCTACTAGTTGTTTTAAATTGCTACATCACGGAATGTAAGTATGCTTTCTAGCGTATTGAGCTTCCCGTCATAGTTTATTCTTGTTTTACTTGAAGCTCCTATACTTCTACTAGGACTCAACAAAAAATGGCCTCGGTTGATGCTGTTGATAAAAGTGAAATTAAGGTTTGTATAGATGATAATTAAGCATTTTTTCTCTTACAGCAAGAGTCGGAAAAGCTTCGTGCCAAATACCCTGGTTTGGTTAATAATGCATCATCATTGCTACATCGACGGCTAAGTAAAAATGTAAGTATAAGCTGTCATTTAACAGTCATTATGACTTTAAAAAGAATTTGTATGCCTAAATTTAATTGGAAGTGTTGAAACCCGAAGTTCCTAAGTTTTCGTTAAACAGAGCATAGTACTTATGCTTAATTAAAAGAGCAGATTATATATTTAAATGGGTGGGTTTCAGCCAAATGCAGGAAGTCCTACCCTTTTATCTTCATATACTTGCCTGTACTAATATTTAAAGCAAGTATACTTTGCCTGAGGTGTGCAGCTTTCCATCGGAATACGTTATAGCGCTGGACAGATTTAGATATCCAGTGGATAATTTCGATGGGTGGATTCCTAACTTGATATGAGTTGAATTCACTTACAATAGTTTTAGATTCGGGCTTGTACATTAATGACATGTGAGTGAAGGACTCTTTGTTTTTGTCGGTACGGGTTCGTATGACCTGTCTTCTCTTGATGAACTCAAACATACACTACTACTAGAAGATTCTAAGGCCTGGTATCTGGATATACAAAGCCTCACTCCACCGAAAACCAGTTGTTTGTTGTCTCTGGAGCCAACCTGTATTGTTGTGTGAGTTTTTATGACCTAGTTGAGAGAGAATATATATGGTTCAAAATGACTTCAGGTCATGACTGAGTCTTATTGATCTATGACAGCATAATGTGAACCGTTCATCTGAAGGTAATGTTAGTTGTATGGTTATCGATCTTCTAAACTTTGTACGAATTTTGAGTCAACTTCCACACAGGGACTTGCACTCTGAACAGTTGTTTAGTTTGGGCTTTGCTAGTTCTGTGTAGTGTGGTGTACATATTTTTATCGAAATCCATGGAAGTTTCCAATGTCCATGGTGTTCTTAACATTTTAGCCGCGACGGAATAGCAATAGATCATTCTTTAAATCACAAGTCTCTTACTTCGTAACCTTTTAGTTCTTTTTTTCACATCACTTGTTCTTTCTGGTTACCCATTATATCCACTCATTAATGCTAGTGTATATTTCCATTCCCTTAGTTTTCCTGTCGGTCTTCGTGGCGTTTGATTGTTGTGCTTTAGATTGGTATGTAGGTTCTCAACCATGTTTTCAGCTTCCATGTTTGTCAAATTATTTTTTCCTTGATTTCGAAGTGCAATTTTTTCCATAGTATTCAGACCGGTTTTAAGTGTCATTTTATACTTACTGATTGAGTTAAGTCTCATTAAGCAACACTTGCTGCGTTCCAGAGATGTCTTCTATACCAATCAGTAAGACTGCTATTCACTAACCGTCTAGGATTCTTACTATACTTTGTCTGATACTCTTAACTTTTATTTCCACTTTTTACACTTGATTTTACCCTCAGAAAAGTTTCATGGCTTTGTGTTCTAACGTGTTTCTCGGTTGTTAGACGGATTGTCACTATTTCCATTAACTTAGTCTACATATTTAAAAATCTGCTATAAAATACTTTGAATTAATAGACGCTACATTAAGTGATGTATTCGAACGTATTTTGTTATAAGTTGCGAAGACAAATAAATCCTATTTATTCAATAGTTCAGCATCCAGCTTTTTAAGATAAAGTTACAATTACGTCTATTTTTCCAACTTCCATCTAATCTATTACTTTGTTTATGTAGGTGAAATATTTCGATTCTGGCGATTATAATATGGCTAAGTCGAGACCACTAATGAAGGATTCCTTTCCCTCAGGTAATTTGGATTCACCAACGGGGGATACTATTCCAACTGTGGATAATATATCTATTCTACGAAGTAAAAGTATTTCATTGCAAAACAATACCACTGTATCACCACAATCAACAACAGCATGTACAACACCAACAAGCACTTCAACTGCAACAACTACATGCAGTTATATAACTATACCAGCTCGTACACAAGTTGCTAAATAATCGTTTGTAAATGTACATCCCGATTTTTAATACCTTATCGTTCCATATTTGATTAAACTTGGTTACATAGTCTTTCACATGATTAATAACAATGATTTTGATATTTATAATAACGCTAAAGGATTACCATGTTAATAATAATGACGTTACCAATAATATAATTCTCTTCCATGTATAATTCAGCTTTCATAATATGCTTTATAAATTATTTTTGCATTCATTTTTGCATTTGAATTTTTACAACATGTACTAGGTAGTTATTTCTTGATGGGTTGTTTTGTTTACATGTGATTTATGTAATGAGATCGACACTTTTACAATAGATTTTCATCAACGTCATTGCTGTTATGGAGAAGTTTATGATTCGCAATGACGAACGACTAGGGGTTTTGCAGTGAATGGAAGCAATAATGATCGATAGATAAAATGAAATAATGAGATCTAGCGAAGTGATGAGCGTTCACAAGATCAGATTATCAACACAACCCTCGTTGATGGACTTGAGTCACAGACAAGGTCACTTACCAGAAAGGTAGATTCTTATCTAATAAAATAATATGCTTGTAACACAACAATAAATGACTAGATGTTCTAAGTTATTAGAGGATATCGGTTTTGTGGGTCACTGGCTTCCCGGCGAATTGAGGCTTGATTGTTAGATTTATTCCTAGCTCGTCATATCACTGTAGTACATTTTCGTCTGTGTGATTGTTTTTGCTTGTAGTGAGAATCAGACTATCTTAAGCTGACATTTTCTGGATTTTAATGGTTTGAATTCGACTGACATTTAGGAGCGAGAAAGTATAGGTAAGTTGTGTTAAGTTTGAGACTTTAACAGTAAACTCCCCCTTATCTTTTTAGTTTAAAAAGTTATTTGTCTCTAACTACAAACATTTTCACAACACTGCCAAGTCGAAATCCGAAGGCTGACTGCTAACTTTATAGTTCTTGAATATCGGTTAGCATTTAACGTTGGTGGTATTGTTTACTTAACATCTGAAGTAAACATATTACTGCTTTTTAACAAATATAATGTCCCATCAGAGAAGATTCTCTTGTCGATAAGAATGTGATGTCCAGATATATGCAGGTGAATTGTAAGATTTTAGGCTACTATTAAGTTTATTGGCAGTGTAGAAGAGTTAGTTTGAAAATTTTGGTTTATTTACATGATACAATTCGACCAATCTGATAGGACATTCAGTTGTCAAGTAACCAAGTACAAAGTATATAGAGTGTGTTATTGTTCCTATTTCAAAAAAAGCCCCTAAATGCCCTGGTACGGCTGAGGGTGCGGAGAATTCGCTCTCCCTCTCGAAATACCCTCACATGACCACGCGTATACAGTCACTGTCAGGGAAAGCCCTATTCACTGCCTTCCCGTGACGGGGGTGTTGTTTACGGAATCGAGAGGAAAAAATGTGAATGTCCGGCGTTTTGACCGGGTCAGCGGATACGGAGGGTCCACCTAGGGGAGTTGGAAAACCCTGATTCCAAACCAATGGTGCATATGGTCCCCAGTATCCTGAAGGAATAAATGGTGTATGAACCTACTATTGGTCACCAGCTACCATGGTATGGCATCTCTTAACGTTGCTCCACTGCCTTGTGGATCAGATCTTTAGGTCAAGGGCTCCGGGTTTGGCCCCCCCAAGAAAACCACCTGCTTCAGTTTGGGCATCTGGGCAGTATCACAGCCCTCACACAAATCAAACGAGATTTGTGCGGCGCATATATATCTGGTGCCCCTTTGTACCAATATTTATGTGTTCAAATAAATAAGATTGAAAAATAATCATATCTAGCGATCAATATCGATTATCAAACACTATATCATCATTATGTTAGCTAACCTGATCTGTTAACTAATACATACATGAAATAAGGTTACATAATGTATATTATCATCAAAACTGTACTTTCAGGTAACTCTAAAAAAATATATATATAATTTCAGTTGATTCGCGATAATAGTACAACAATCATCCGATGTAATCGATTAGCTACTGTCCAACTCCTGGCTTATTTGGTATAGGGCTTGATTTATAATTTACTTGAACTAACAGTCGGTCTTTGATGATTGAATTATCTCCTGTAGATAGTAATCTCTTTGACGAAGACGTTATCTACCGTCATTCTAATTTTGTTGGTTATAAACATGATCATTTATCACAGTGGATTAACGTCTTTAAAAGAATATTACAATTAATGATTTTAGTTTGATGTTCAACTACTTTACTTGCAACTTTCATGTAGTAAATTTTATTATTAAATGAGAATACTTGCTTGTATGCAAAGTATACACAGTGTTAATATTAATGATACAAACAAAAAACAGTAAACAAAAATCACATGATTTTCTGACCAATCATGAGATGTAAAATTGGATCGTTTAAGTTCATATTACATAAAAAGTTTACTTTTTAATTGTAAACTTCATTGACATAAATTATGAATGATGAACTGATAATAGAATTTGTAAAAATGACGTAAGAACACTCATATTTACGAGAAATGAGATCACTTGAGAAACTTAAAAATTCATGAGTATTGGATAGTTGTGTCATTCCATTTCGGAACTCATCAGTACTGTGAATCCTTCCCCTCATATCTTTTATATTGGATTTATTAATACATAAACATTGGTACAAGGGCACCAAATACACATGCGCCACACGATAACTACTAGGCCAGTAGCAGTTATCATTGATTTGTGTGTGTTGGGATACTGCTCCGGTGCACAAACAGAAGCAGGTGGTTTTCTTGGGGGGCCAAACCCGGAGCCTTTAACCTGAAGGTCTAATCCACAAGTCAGTGGAGCAACGTTAAGAGATGCCATACCATGGTAGCTGGTGACCAACAGTAGGTTCATACACCATTTATTCCTTCAGGATACTGGGGACCATATGCACCATTGGTTTGGAATCAGGGTTTTCCAACTCCCCTAGGTGGAACCTCCGTATCCACCAACGCGATTAAAGCGCCGGACATTCACATTTTTTCCTCTCGATTCCGTAAACAACACCCCCGTCACGGGAAGGCAGTGAATAGGGCTTTCCTTGACAGTGACTGTATACGCGTGGTCATGTGAGGGTATTTCGAGAGGGAGAGCGAACTCTCCGCACCCTCAGCCGTACCAGGGCATTTGAGGGCTGAACTTTCAGATGTGAAAATGAGTACGATATCACTCAGTGACTCAATCAAATACTTTTGAATACTCTCAATTTCGAACATAATAAGTGTGGATGGTTGTTAGGAATAAGTTAATCAGTGGCAACAACTAAGGTCACAACACACAATGAGACATTGATTTGACAGTTGAGTTGAAATCATGGCTGCTAAGTTATCGTTGAATATATTTATATTGCTTTGTAGCAAAATAACGGATTCCTTTTTGAAGACGAGTTGCTTAAGATCTTGTTTACAATGCGAGACGTACTGACTTTGTTATAGAATAATTAACTACTGAATATTTATTAAAGCATATCACAAGTTCTGCATGATGGATTTAGATCAAGGTCACCTGTTGGCTGGAATAACTGACCGTTATTTTTGAAACATAGCTGAAGATCCTATACTGAAAAATGGTCTCTTATTATTTTCAATTTAGGTTCTATGTTACTTAATGTGTGATGTATGATCAGTGAAAGTAATATTTAGATGGTCTCTGAGGAAAGACAAGTATTAAGTATACAGACTATTATTATATGCAAAAGATTGATTTTGCTATAATTCTGTCCGGATTTCACTCTGTTAATTCTCTATACTTTGTGTCGATAAACTGTGGTTTTGATTGATTGTTTGGTTCTCAAGCTGTCAGTCGGATATTGTGTATGTACATATCATGTATCGTGGTCTAATGTACTCACTTGGATTATTCATTACTCATCAACAATAATATATTTTGTACCATTAGCTTAAAAGCTTATTACTTTTGTCAATATGACGATGTTCTTTCAAAATGTACGGAGAGAAGAGAAATAACTAAGAAGACAGCGAAGCACTAACACTGAGTACTGTTTACGCGAAATTGCAAAATATCTGGTTAGAAATGTGAACTATCGGACACTGATTTATTAGAACTATTTCAAGTATCACATTTTCAATTCATTCAATAATTTCAACGTCATCCTGGAAATATCCGATAAGGTGTAACTGTATATTTTACACCAAGCTTGAAGACAGATGACAGTGTAGCTCCACAAAAATAGATTTCAAAGGTAATGTTCGGCAAAAACTAACCTTAGAGAACCAATAATACCACGGGATATTGGTTCAGTATTTCATCCTAGATTTGTAAATTATAAGTACATGAACACTGACGACCTCAAATGGAATCCTCAAGTCTTGTTGTAAACATGATACTATTCCGTTGCCTGATCAGTAGTCCATATTTTAAAGTGCAGTCAGTTCGTGATAAAACGAGACCCCTTAATCTACGTTCGACTGATAAAATCTTAACAAAACATTGGTAAGTAACTTTAAGTTGACCACTAGCACTTTACTGTGGAGATAGTAGACAGCTTTACATTATAAAGGTTGAAAATGACCAATACTAGATTTTAATTTGACTTAACATCGGTAACAAGTAAACATTAATTTTTATTGCTTGATATGTTAATGGTTGAGGCTACAAAGCATTTCAAAAGTAGAAAACAATAGTCGTTTAATGAATCGTAGGTATTAAGCATTTTAATTTTATTTCACGACAAAAAAGGTACTTAAATAAATGTAGATGTTTGTATTTCATGTCAAATAAAAACATGATAAATTTCAATGAGGTTACATAAATAATGTAGGGAAAATAATTAAAGTCGAATAAGGACCTTCAAAAAAATGCTTAGCTAGTCTATCGACATTTATGTCATTGGAATTTTAATTACACTACGATTTACTGAGCGTTGTATTCAAATGTTAATATAGGGTATAAAACTAGTTGTACTTTGCCTTAATAACTTTTCAATCGACTCTCAAGAATCATTCGGAGTTAAAAATGGAGAAAAGCTTACAAATTTATAATTGAACTATTCACCACAGCGTAAATCGAAAATGCAGTGTTATGACAGAATGTAGGGTAGATTATACTTGTCACTTGGATGAACAGTGTGTAACCCCCACTTGGGAAGTTTTATTCACTGCTTCTGTGATTTTGTTTTGTATAAAAGCAAGGAGCTGAAATGAACTATAGTGAGAGTAGTGAATTCTATTTTCAAATGAATGGTACGTACACGCTTCAGCGATCTGACAGAATGACTGTTACGTAAACGCATGATTTTTATGAGAATACAAGCTGTCACTTTCTTGCATTTCGGATTTGAATGAAAAATGTAGGGGACTTTTGAAGTGACTTTGTGCTGCGATTTGAGGGCATGTCAACATCTGCCATTCGCACAACAAATGAAAATCGAGAATGTTCTCTTAGTAATTTCAATTGTAAGTGAATTAGTTTTGTATTTTCACGTGTATTATCTAGTTTTATACTTATTTCCTTTAATACTTTAGAAAACTGTAACTATTAGTTATAATTTCATTTTTTTCACCTTACGAATCGCCGTTATTTGAAGTTTCAAACGATCGGGAGTAGCCGTTAGACGCTAAGAAGTTATTTTCTTTAAGTTATACTTAAACGCTCAATCTAACTCGTTTGTTTCAAAACCATAGGTTTCGTTCAAACTTTAATTCTTAAGTGTAGCATCCTGATAATCACTGAATAAGGGGGACATAATTAAGATAACGGAAAAGTACACAGTTGATTTACGAATTATCAAATAATTCCACGGTACAAATTGTGATTCTATTACTGCGTATTTTTTCTGCGACTCTGTGTCTACTATTATGAATGTTGATTCCAGACTCGATAACAAGAGTGCCTGATATATTATAGCTAGACTTACAAATACAAAAGTCAGATTGCAGGTATTACCTTCTAGTCTTATGCATACAACAACTTAATCCAGCCAGTAATAATTATCCGGGGGATTCCTTTATCTATCCAAGTCTGGACTGAAATAATCTCTCTGATGATCACCTACCGACAGTATCGTTGTACAAGACTATTATTCCTTCTGGAGTACTTAACTGAGCTGATTGATTTTTCCCACGTAGCATGATCATATAAAGTTTTCATGATTTGTAAAATTGCTAAATTTCACAATACAGTATTATCTAACGAATTGTATTTGAAAAATAAAGAAAACATGAGGAAAAATACGGTCAGTTATCAAAAGCATTCACAATATGCTATAGAATCCCAAGATAATAATTACATCAAACTGAGTAGACAGAATGTTTCCAGAAAACACTCTTGTAACTTCGCAATGTTCGCTTTCAGAAGGTTATGAAGATTCAGAATTTTTTTTAGTTAAAAGATTTGGAAGCTTGGCACAACAAAAGTATATATATATATATATATATATATATATATTTCAACAACATCCTATAAAAAAAACTGTACACAAAGTTACTTTTATTGATCAGTTTTTTTATTTAGTTCAAAAATATCTTGTGATAAGTAAAATGTTCCTTTTCGTTTGATGATATGAGCCATAAACATGGATAAAGATATGGGGAACAGAAGATATTAGTAAAATACAATTGAGATGATACAACGGGCCGTTGATTAGATGAAGTACGTGGGTGAACATTAGAAATGCAATGTAGTTGCAATCAATTCTGCAATATCATCCATAATCTAAAAAACCAAAACAATGAGTTAATAGTGTGAACATTACTTGGTGGTTCATTTTCCTAAAATATAAGGTTTGATAGAAACAAGATGGAACTTTATTTCAAGTACAACAGTGTATCGGTTTGCATTGCCGTAATCGAAAAAAGCCACTTATTAGAGATAACTATGAGAAAAAAGGAGTTTTAGAACAAATTTAAATAAATTCTGGTTGATTTTATTCCATTTTGAGATAGTGACACAGAAATCCTTACAGTGATTGATGTCATATCAATTGAAAATTTGTCTCATATTTCATGCGTTGTGGCTTTTTCCGTTGTCATTGAAAGGTCTTCTACGTATTTCCACTTGTCGGCTCTAATGCTCCTCTTCACTTGTGTGTTCGCTTCTGTGTATTGGGTTTGTGATTTGACTTTCTCTGTTGTTGTTCGGCTGTTGTTAATTGCTGTCTTCTTATTCTTCCTTTCTTGAATCTCGTCCAGGATATCGAAGGAGATCCATTCCTTATGATGGCATTTTTTACAGTAAGCTAACGTTTCATTTTCAAAATATTAGCAAACTTAAAAATCAGTTGAATAAAATTTAATTCATATAAATGGATATATTGGATACTCATGGAGTTATATGATAACTTATGCTACAGATCATTATCATGAACGTAAATAATGATGGACATAGAAAATATTATATAGAACTTTGGGATTATTGACTGAATAAGTAGGCTTTAAAACTAGTCAAGTTACACATTGAGAAGGGATCACAAAAATTTTTGATGACGGACTATTTTTAAATTATTTCATGGTTGTAAATTGGACGCATTTGTTCCTCATGGTGGTGAGGAATCCTTATTGATTGGGAGGGGGATATTGAAAAGCGAATTCAACCGTAATTCATACATTTGTTGGGTTGATCGATTACTCTACGGAAAGATATGGAATGGTAGTTATGAAACTTTCTTTTCATTCAGTACTACATATTGATCGAAGGGGGAGCATGAAAGTGTTTTTATTTTAGTATGTAAAGATAGCACTCGAATATTAACTTATATTATTTGGACAAATATGAAAAGTCAAGTATATTACTTGATTTTCGATAGGATTGAAAGGTTGAATTCGAGATGGTCAAGTTTAACAAGAGCACTGGTCAAGTTACGTTAATAAACTGAGGAATTAAGCATTTAAAAATTCCGTCGTAAGAACTATTTGACGAACGTGATTGTGGGCCATACGGACGAAATGTGTAGAAACTAAAACGAAGTCAATAAAATTTGTTTCATTCAGTATGTAGTACTGTGAATATCCGGTAATTTAAAAAAGGAAACATAATAAATTAGATAATAAACATACACTTTCTAAACTTTGACCGGATTTCTTAGCTATCTCTAAACGTTGACAATGTGGTAAAGTTAGATAACGCCAGATTAAATCACCATCTGCAACTTTACCGCATGGATTAGCTAATTCTGGTTGAGGACGATTATATGACCTAGAAAAGACACATTAAAGTACAAATCATTTTTATCATACGATCACGTTTATAATATAGTAACATGATAGCTATGAAATGGTTTAATAAATTCGAATTTATAATTTAAACTGTCGGATATTACTTATTGAAGGATTAAAAAGAGGATATTAGATTACTTATCTAAACGTAGATATAATGCCATTTATTATCCGAAATTCCCACATGCGCATATGCTACTACATGACGATAAGGGAAGGAAATGAACAGACTTAAATTTACCAATGTGGAGTTATAGGGATTGTTGAACTTCATTTATCTAAGATAACCATCGAAAAGTTGGAAGCACTGAACAGCTGTTTTGTCTTGACCACTGAATCAGGATCCAAGGGTGTACAAATTCAACTTCAACCAATCCACGATATTGAGCCAATATTTTCCATTGTCTTCGGTAGGTATCCTCTTTATACCCGACACGGTGAGAATCTGTTGTTAGTGGAGTTCAAGCATATAAAGTGCGACACAGTTGTTCATTGAAGGTAATGGATAAGGGTTGTGTGATATCATGAATTGACTGAAGTTAGACATCACTGTTGAATGCCAGCTCAGTGATCCAGAGATTAAGCGTTCATGTGAGTCTCGCAAATAGCTTGTATATTTGTTTGGAATCATTATTAAATAACTAAGAAATCAGAAATATAACTCGATTGTTTATTTTTGAACCACAATCTTTGATTTGAGGTCTGAAGGTACTATGCGGATGATCGGTTCAAATCTGGGACTCAATGACTGAAACCCAAGTGATTTTGCTACCAAGCCAATGCTACGCATCAGTACATCAATATACCACCAATGAAACTAATAGTTTAAAGAAAGAGCCAACTTAGCGGCCATGTAATGAAGAAGCTAGTCTCTTACGGCAATAAGTCTCTATCATTGTAACCCTCTCATGAGGATAATCTTTCTTTGTTTTTTGCTGCAATCGAAGGGTTAGTTAGTGATAAGCACAGAATTTCGACAATAATGTGACAACATAACTAGAAAAGTAGGAGACATTAATTTTTCAGACTAATATTACACATCTGGTAATATATACCTGAAATGATATTTTGAGAAAATTACTCAACTGTTTTACGAGTTCTACTTGTGTAGAATAAAAACCGATAAGTAATGGATTATAAAAAAAAAACTCACCAACATGATTTAGGCGGCATACCACATATAGGTCCAAGATGATGAATTAAATTTTTCTCAGTTATACGTAGGCGGCTATACATTTTATCACGTATAGGACCGATTCGGTAAATGGAACCATTCTGACTGCCTGAAATATTGTATTTAAAACAAAATGCAAACCCAATCTTTTAACATCAAATAATGCAACTACAAACACATAAGAACAAACAGTTTATACTCTGTGTTTCTATAAAAAACGGGGAATATCAAGAGGACTGTAAACTTTTGGAATTATTTAATGAAGAATTATTGTCTATATTCTTATGGTGTAATTATATGACATATCGATCAATGTACCCTTATATTTTCCTAACTGTTATCTTTCGTTTGACATATAAACTACCGTTATTTCTTAAATATATAACACAGATAATTCAGAATAATCACTACATGCATAAAATAATAATATTGGTAAGATACGAACCATCATGTATCTTTCTTTTTGAATGCTGAACACAATTTTATTCCTGTGTATTGGATATTTTACAAATATCAGGGTTTTCTTCACTTTGTCGCATGGATTAAACGTGCAGTTTTCACAATGTTTTTCTCAACGATACTATCAGCACACATCTTAATGAGAAATAGGTTGTTAAAATTTATTCACCGTTAACTAACTGGTTGTTCTGTTGACCTTGAGTTTCGTTGATTTGTTGTCCATTAGTGTGTGGCCATTGTTGACATCGTAGCTGTGTTTACTTTTTTCTTTATCTTAAGCTATGAATATTCTCCACCATCTGAAAATTATATGGACGTAACCGATCTTATTTCTTTGCCCGTTCAATAAGTAATCGGTTTACTAAGGAATGTTCTGAAATTATGTGTTAATACTCTTGGATAAGATAATATGTATAATAGAGAAATATCGCCAAAGTGAATAACAATAATACTAATAATCATAGACAGTTTATAGCATAAATAAAATAAAGATAACCTAAATAAACATACTAAAAACGCATTAAACTAACCAAAATATATAGACTGTCTAAATTTCTCTGGATCAACACCAGAGTTAGGGTTGGTAGTCCCTTGTTGTGCAGCCGTAGACTGTTGTTGTGATTGTCTTAAGTTATTCATTTGATTAACAGAATCAACACGACTTAAATTATCTAAAACAGTATTAGTAGAATTCTGGATAGTCGCTGAAGTTCCTGCTGTCATGGCTGACGCTGTAGTTGTTGACGAAGGTTTAACTGAGAGTAAAGCATGTCTAAGTCGATTGGCCACACGAAGTGAACAGGTTGCACGAGATGGTAAACGCATATCTGCACAACGAACAAGCCGTCTTCCAGAACGACTTGAAGGATCTAATGGATCATAACTATAGATGGTAACATTGCCCAATTCATCAGACACTGAGATCAATTTGTGATAGGAGAAAAAAACAATACATATTTACATGAAATATATTATTATATGAAACCTTGGCACATTTTCTAAAATTTAGACTATCAATAGTTTACTACCTTGACAAAAATAGTGAGAAAATTCAAAAGAAATTAAGGGTTTTTCAAAAGCTGATTAAAAGGATCATTTTCATGAAAGCGAAAATAGTAGTTTTACTATTTAAAGAAATGGAATGATTATAGATTGAATGTAATGCAAAACAGCAAAATTACGAGCACTTATTCAATTAATTTGATAAACTACACATTAAAAAATAAACTGGTTAAGAATAAAGGAAGTTAGTAGTGATATGATATGTGAAAGTAAACTCATTTAAACGATATTAAAAATTATTAGCTAACAGATATGTATGAAGATCTAAAATAAGCGAATGTAAAGTTAAATAGTAAAAGTATATTACAACAGAGATACATTTATATGTATATATTGAACCATTTTGTCATATTGTAAATTTCATATTCATCCACGACCATACATACATACATACAAAACGATACACAAAGCAATATATACGCACATCATATATACAGTAATCTGTCATAGAAATGACAGTGAACAATATGTTTAAACTTTCTCATTAATATATTCACAAATTATATTAATATCATTTGATTTTTTACTAATTTCAATTTATACTCAACAATCTCCATAACCCTATAGTGATAATTAAATTTGTTAGCTTATAAAAGTTTATCAATTATATGAGACCATGCAATATGTTGGATATCCTATAGTTTTTCTTAATCATCAATCAGTCACAATGTAGAACTTCGTATGTACATCAGTTCGAGTTGCCATACCACATTAACACAGAGATGAAGTTGTCGATTCAAATCCCATAGTGGTAGTGTGGTGTAGTCTACTTATATCTATATAAGTAGTATATGGTGTGGGTCAGACATAGAATGTACTTTGGCAGAAGACCGATGAGGAATGAACTGAAATGAGGCGCAATCGTCTGGAAAATGCATGAGCAATGGAATAAGAGAAGAAACAGTGAAGATTGAAACAATTGGCTGTTAATTTGCAAATTGACTGTTCATTGTTTGGTAATCAGAATTTACTGAGATAGTCTGTAATCTTTGCTTAAATACATTCGATTGTCCCCCAGTCGTATTTTGTTCACTACATTTGGTGTCGCTGCCAACCAGGAGGAGGAAGGGTGCTGTTCTGCGGACGCCGCTGCGGGTCTGGAGTGGAGGTGCTAGTTGGGGCAGTCTTGTGAGGAGAGGTGGCGTCGAGTGGAGTGTTCTGACGGGGCGGCGTTGGCTGTAGCGGGTGCTGTCGACGGAGAGGAGCAGTGGGACGTGAGGCTGCTGGGCGGACATCGGATGTAGATGGCTCAGCAGGCCGGTGGAGTACGGGTGTTGAACGTCCCAGGTGCCGGGTGGATGCGGATGTTGGTGCCCCGGCAGGTCGACGGAGCTATGGAGGTCAGCGCGCCGCAGACTCGACATTCTGACGGAGAGTTTGGCACAGACTGCAGTGAAAGAAGATAGTGGCATGGCGAGCAGAACCACCGCACGAACGAATGCTTTAAAGGGGGGACGAGTGTGGTGTAGTCTACTTATATCTATATAAGTAGTATATGGTGTGGGTCAGACATAGAATGTACTTTGGCAGAAGACCGATGAGGAATGAACTGAAATGAGGCGCAATCGTCTGGAAAATGCATGAGCAATGGAATAAGAGAAGAAACAGTGAAGATTGAAACAATTGGCTGTTAATTTGCAAATTGACTGTTCATTGTTTGGTAATCAGAATTTACTGAGATAGTCTGTAATCTTTGCTTAAATACATTCGATTGTCCCCCAGTCGTATTTTGTTCACTACATTTGGTGTCGCTGCCAACCAGGAGGAGGAAGGGTGCTGTTCTGCGGACGCCGCTGCGGGTCTGGAGTGGAGGTGCTAGTTGGGGCAGTCTTGTGAGGAGAGGTGGCGTCGAGTGGAGTGTTCTGACGGGGCGGCGTTGGCTGTAGCGGGTGCTGTCGACGGAGAGGAGCAGTGGGACGTGAGGCTGCTGGGCGGACATCGGATGTAGATGGCTCAGCAGGCCGGTGGAGTACGGGTGTTGAACGTCCCAGGTGCCGGGTGGATGCGGATGTTGGTGCCCCGGCAGGTCGACGGAGCTATGGAGGTCAGCGCGCCGCAGACTCGACATTCTGACGGAGAGTTTGGCACAGACTGCAGTGAAAGAAGATAGTGGCATGGCGAGCAGAACCACCGCACGAACGAATGCTTTAAAGGGGGGACGAGTGTGGTGTAGTCTACTTATATCTATATAAGTAGTATATGGTGTGGGTCAGACATAGAATGTACTTTGGCAGAAGACCGATGAGGAATGAACTGAAATGAGGCGCAATCGTCTGGAAAATGCATGAGCAATGGAATAAGAGAAGAAACAGTGAAGATTGAAACAATTGGCTGTTAATTTGCAAATTGACTGTTCATTGTTTGGTAATCAGAATTTACTGAGATAGTCTGTAATCTTTGCTTAAATACATTCGATTGTCCCCCAGTCGTATTTTGTTCACTACAGTAGAAGCAGTAAGAGTATAAGCATTATGTGAAAGATTAGGGTTTGAAGATGTTATTGAAGGAGTATAATACAGTGAAATAAATTTGAAAAGAGAAAAAGGATAGGGACATGAAGAATTCAGAAGATTAGAATTTGGTAGAACACATAGAGTGGATGCACCTTCGCCATTGCAAACGATTTTGAGCCATGTCATTCAAGGTCTCTCTTAGTCATTGGAATATATATATGCTTCAAATTAAGTGGCATTTAAACTAAATTATGGCTTGTGTTTCCCTACGAAGTTATACAATAGACAAACAACATAGGGATAGTTCTTGTTTAAGAAGACATTTGTCATATAATGGGGATAACGAATATTTAACAATCACATTAGGAGTTTTTTACATATCGTTGAAATCACGAGTCAATTGAAGCTGGACCACCATGGAAAACCTGGACGGCCGTTTTGTCCTATTGTAGGACTCCTCAGCAGTGCGCATCCACGATCCCGCACTCGCGAGATTCGAACTCAGGACCTACCAGTTTCGCACCAGAGCACTTAACCGATAGACCACTGAGCAGGCACCCAACGGTGTTCATGTCTAACTTCAACTAATCCACGAAGTTGAGCAACCATTCACCAATGTCTTCAGTGAGTTGATATCTCCCAACAGACCTGGTTGAACTCCACTGGTTACTGCTTCTCACTAGAACTCCAGGAAATACCTCATGGAGTCAGTCTTTATTCTTTTTGTTGTCATAAAGACTGCAAACAAGTTTTGATGAGTTAATCGGTCAGTCACAACTAACGTAGAGCCTGGTAAAAATATAAGTTGACCCAACTTGTTATGCTACATTGGCACAACGAGATTAAAAAATTATATGAGTAGCAAAAGGGTCAAAATAATTGCAACAACCATCATAATAAGAAGGAATAAACATTGAGAATATAGTCCGAGAAAAGAAAAAGGAAATATATGAATGAAGGAACACCGGAACTTGAAATCTAGATGAAGACAAAAAGTGAACGGTATCTACGCAATTGTGAACGATTTTGAGCCATTCATCCAAAGTTTTCAGCCACTGATAAAGGTTATGAAGCGATTGACTGCTAGATAGTCTGCAACTACAAAAATTAGTTCACATCAACCGGACTGATGGCACAACTTAGTTTGACCACCTCTCACTTTCTTCTAACTTACTCGCATATCTGGTGCAATGTGATCGTTTACGTAATAGGTTGCCAAGAAAATCAGTTTTAACTCAAATATTCTATTGCTCAAAACTTATATTAGTAGTAAACTGGTTCATCTGTTACGAATCCCTATTTGTATGAGTTTAAATGAGAAGTCTCACATAAATATACCACAACTGTTGCACAATCACATTCTTAAGGTTACCAAAAACAAAACAGTAAAACCAAAACAACAATTACTAACCCATAAATCCTAAACGTCGACCATCTACGAAGAAGTTGGATGTATACACTTCTCTAGAGATATTATCTCGACTGACAACAGAAAGAACACGTAGATCTGATTGAAATCTTAACAACTGAACAGATTTTAATACATCAGCTGCTAAAACTAAATTTTTTACACATAATAAATTATGGATGTATAGTTCGGAGTCAACAAATGCTACACCCACAAGATCAGTATTTTTCAATGTCCAAATATAGATCTAAGAGAGAAAAGAACAAAATGAATTATGTACAACACAAGTTCAGAATAGTAATATTATATTTAATATAATAAAATAGATATGATGCGTCGTCCTATTGAATAGTGTTATCTTAATATAATAAGTTCACTACATATATGAAATATTAACATCAGTTATTATTATTATGTTCAAATATAGAAAGAAATAATCATACATTCATTAGAAGGTCGACGATGCGTGGTATGTACAACTATGACAGAAATTTCGAACTGGTAAAGTAACAAGAAAGTTTTGTTTTATTATGAGCAAAAGCAAAATAACATAGGGTCGAGACATCTACAGGAATAGAGTTATTGATTTGACATCGGAGAGTTGATGAAGTATATATTTGAGGAAACACTGAGTCAAATAAACATACAATAATTTGGGTTACCAAAATGTATCTTGATTTTACCTTAACTAGAAAGGAGTATTGAGAGAGTAATACATACACTTCAATTAGACTAGTCGATAAAACTTAATACATACATTAAATGAACAACACTTTATAAATTGAGTCTGACATCGAATCTGGACATAGTTCATTCATCGACTTATATTAGACACTAACTGTCCTGTACTTCATAGTTGTGTAACAGAATACAGATAATTGTTTGACCATATACCTAATCTTTAATATATATAATAGACCACTTCAACGATAGGATAAGGAGTTGATTAAAATTAATTATTCTACTAATATTGGAAAGTGATTAATTAGTTGTAATTCGTGCAACTACTTAGTGACCTGAGAAAATGAATGACAAACTTTTCAATTGTCAACTAGATGCGATCTGAGAGATTGATTAAAAAAATACAATACCAAATCACATTTGATTGTGAAGATCTGGAAGGGGCGGAAACTTTTATGTACCCGGACAGTATCATTGATAAACAAGGAGTCTCTGGTGTAAATGTGGAGACACAGATTAACAAAGAAATGGAGGCATTCCTACAGTTGAAGAACATATGGAACTTAAAACAACTGTCAGCCAATATCGAAGTTAGAATTCGTAATATGAAAGTGAAGACAGTTGTATTTTACAGTTCTATTGTACTTGGAAAACTACTACAACCAAGTACAAGTATTTACAAACATAGTCTACACAAGATACTCAATATCCGTTGGTCGCATACCATCAGCAACAACCTGCTATGTCAGAGTACAAGCCAGCTCTCAGTTGAAGAGGAAATTAGGAAAGGACTCTGAAGCTGGATAGGACATAGATTGCCGAAGTCATCAGACTGCATCACTAGGCAAGCGCCAACCTGGAATACTGAAATGCGAAGAAACAGAGGGTCAAAAAACACAACATCGGGAATGTGAGGCAGACATCAAAAGAATAAATAGTGCCTGGAAAGGAATCTAGGACAGAATTGGTTGGGGAATCCTGGTGGGCGGTCTGTGCTCCTCCACGAGGGATGGCAGGCGTAAGGAAGGTTATCGACGTCGACAGACCAATAATAACGATTTATTAAACATATTAGCTAACTTGAATACACGTACACAGATTTCTAAATGAGTTCCAAGGAAACGAGCAACATTATTGGAATACTCAGTTGCTTATTACTTACTCATGTCAATGACATCATTATGAAAGATACATGTTTACTGATAGTGCCAAATGTATTTGGTCGGCTGAATTCAGAGTAGTATCTTATAAGAAGATTGATGCTATTAATAAAATCAATTCACTGATAAAAAATATATGTAACAAGATAGCTAGATAAAAGTTTGTGTGTGCAACGAAAGCGTATGTCAAATGTAAACACTAAATTTAATTGAAAATTGAAACAAATATTTATAAGATTCAGATTTCAAGGTGAAAGAATGTAGCTCAGATGTGATTTGTTTTACAAATAAAAAAACCTAGAACACAAGGAGTAATCTGTAAATAAATTTATTTAATAGTTCTAAACATCATCATGTGACATCTTTCTACAGGAATATAATGTTTAATTAATTAAAGTTTCTTGATTGATTAGTGTAAAGAACCTCAAACTACCACGTTTAATCATATGGCATACTCTATAGACAAGTTCTGACACAAAGAAAATAACGATTATGAGCAGTGATATTTAATTGTCATTTAAGTGTATTTGAGTGAATGAAAGAAACAATCAAGAACATCTGAGACTACTTAATACAGTTGTGATCCTATTATTGTTATTTAACTCTTGTATTTTGTTATCACGTATTTTAACAGGAGTGAATTAAATTGGATCACTTTATTTGACCGTGGTCACTTGTATTTTTAGCTAAAATGTGACTTGAGAATTGTACTGGTTGAACGAATATCCTATAAAGTTAAAAGCTTTATTATTAATTCAGGATTCATTGAAAAGTGTTTTATTAATCAGAGATCTTATTTATCAACTGGCATAGGCTACTGTTAGAAAAAAACTAGAAAGAGGTCACTAATCAATTGCTAAAATAGTATATGAAGGTTATCTATTTGGTTAGGGATCAAAAAGGGTTTCTTTGATGAGTGCAGGATATAATATTAATCACAAGTGGCATGACTCAAATAACAGAAAAATGGAACAATTGTAGGATAAACAAGTCATCTAGAACTAGTTATAGTAAAATCTTCATGATTTATTCGAAAAGAATTAAATATAGGTTGTGTTATTGGAGAAAACCGGAAACACTTATCATCAAAATTAATATTAAAGAGATTAACAATTATATAGATAAATTATAACGAGATCAGAAAACCAGATGCAAAAATTTCACGAAACCTTTGATCTCCATTACTCTTAATCATAAGAATTACTTTGAAGTGATCAGTATAAGAAGCAACAGACTGATTACTGATTACAATAACATTTTCACAATTACCTTTTGTCCAATTGCACTAATTAAATGACCTTGACAGCTAGTTAAAGCTGTCACTGGACCCTTTTGCTCACCATCATGTATAATTTTCAATTTATGTCGTGTAAGTGGTTGACCAGGTTCTGGTACAACATCAATCACGTCTAAAATCAGAATTCGACCACGGACAGGTATTTCTTCACCATATGTTAAATTTGCACCTAAAGCCAAATAATCTTTTGTACCATGAAACGTCTCTTCAGATGCTAATTGTGCTGTAATCAAACATGTGACAACTTCCCACGGTTCAAATTCAATGCTAAAAATAGTTGGAGTAAATAATAATACAGAGTAGTTGAAATCGAATGATAACACTATAAATGAGTACTTTTGGTAAGTTAATTAAATCGCATAAAATTCTAAAGCGTAAATCCTAAAAATTGTTAAGGATGTAAAGGCTATACTGGATATTCTACTTTTTTTAAAGGATAAGGTGAATACTATTTTGAGGAAAAAGTCAAAATAATTGTGATGAATGACTATTTCAACTGTTGTACACCTTAAGTATGTCATTACTAATTGTTTCAATTTCCCATTGTTCCACAATAAAATCTTATACTGTTGATTTCAAATGTAAACTTCTTTATTTTTTATTTGGGTGTTTAATACATTATTGTTTATTCGAAGGATTGCTTAATTGCTACAATAATACAGTTCAGATTTGAATTTAGAAATGTAGATTATGTGTTAATGAATATGAGAACTGTGTAAAGATACTATTAGTATTGAAGCAAATTATACAAACGGGAAAATATACAGATCAAAGGAATTACTAGATAACAACATACCTATAGAATTCAACGTTAATAACTTTAGAAGTAGGGGTTTCCTTACACAAAATTCTGAGAAAAATCGACAAGCACTAACATCAGTTAACCAAGTTTACTTCGTACAGAATGACTTGTCACAAATAAACATATTATTATGACAAGAAATGAATAGTATGAAAAGCAAGGAGTTGAAATGATAATTAAACTGTAAAATATGATGTAAACCAAATCTTAGTCTGGAATTCATTATTCTTCTTTATAAATAGAACCAGTTAGTAAAACTAAAGAAAATTCTTAATGAATAATAATACTAAACCTGTTAACTTACAGTGTATTAGGAATCAATAGCCATGGAGGTTGCTTATTACGATGATTAGCGTTTAAATTTGGTGCATACATTTGTAAAGAGTAATAGTCTAATGTTGGTAGAACACATGTTTTAGGACGAACTAAAACATCTTCTTCTTTATTACCTTCAGCATTTAATCGAAATACAGATTTACACGGTTCTGAATGAATACCGACAACAGCATACGTCTAAGATATAAACAAATGTATATAGAAAATCAATGTTATTCTGGCATGAGCTATGTACTTTGTATTGGGATATATATAAATTTCAGATAAAATTTTAATATTACACTTAAATTGTAAGATATGACGATATGTTCTCTGAAAGACTAAAACAACGCCAATCCCATTACTATAACCTTGAGCTACACTATTTGTGAATACGTGATATTACCCGGTTGCCTAAAAACAAACAACTGGAGTTGGGTTTTGAACATATACAACTCAGGTAATACACATTCGTCACAGTAATTGTATTTTTTAAAAAGTTCTATATTCGATAAGTTTTAATTACACTCAATGAATCAAGTTGACTGTGTTATTGTGTCTGATAAATTTTAATTACAAAAAAAGTACACTGATCTAAATGAACAGATCAAATTCACAGTTTTAAAATATTTCATACACAATCCAAATCACTAAAATATAGGTTTCACTTCACTATTACGCATTTACGGTAATATGAAACTATGAGTATTATGTATACAAGAAGTATTATGATTATCTTAAGTAAATAATTGATTAAAATTTGAAAATAATATTGTCACAAATGAGACCATTTATTCGACAATTATTGTATGCATTCAACTACAATGATAGTTTACAGTAAACTTGAAAAATCTTAAACTTATTTATTATTTACATTATACAATCCTCAGACTAGAGTATGCAGCATTGAAATCAATTCCCTTGTAGTATATATATAGAACTCATAGATATTGGGAGATAATTTGTGTTTGCATCATTTCATTGTTACTAAGGACGGGAATTGATTAGTTACTTCCAGACATATGTACAATCTTATTCATTTATTTTTTGATCACATAAATATTGGTACAAGGAAGCACCAGATAAGTATGCGCCTCACAAATCTCATTTGATTTGTGTGAGGGCTGTGATACTGCCCAGATGCCTAGACTGAAGCAGGTGGTTTTCTTAGGGGGCCACACCCGGAGCTTTTGACCTAAAATTCTGATCCACAAGGCAGTGGAGCGTCGTGAGGAGATGCAGTCCCATGGTAGCCAGTGACCAACGATTGATTCATACGCCATTTGTTGCCTCAGGATCCTGGAGCCCATGTACACCATTGGTTTGGAATCAGGGTTTTCCAACTCCCCTAGGTGGACTCGCAGTATCCATCAACCCGGTTAGAGCACCGGACATTCGCTTTTCGTCCTCTCAATTTCGTAAACAACAGTAATGCCACGAGAAGGCAGTGAGTAGGACTTCCCTGTCAGAGGCTATATACGCGTGGCCATATGAGAGCATTTCGAGAGGGAGAGCGGACTCTCCCCACTCTCGGTCGTACCAGGAGAGTTGGATAGTGGCTAGCTGTGGAATTGAGAACGCATGTTTCGTCCTGTTTGGCTAGATGTACCTGTATCCCAGCGTTGATGCTTAGCCAGGACTCAAACCTAGTAAATTTTACTTTAAATGGTCAATGAGTTATTTATAAGGCTATTGAGCCCAGATAGCCGCTGGCTTGTGAGACGAGAATTAAAATAATATTTAAAATATATCTCCATCTGATTAGCTGTCATTTACTTCCATCCACATTTTTGATCAGTTTTACGGCTGTGAGACTACTTTGTATTGTATTCTAATTAATAATCAAAATGAGTGTTCGATCAATACATAATGAGTGTATTTTCAACCGAAGTTGTCATGTAATGGGTTTAATAAATCCTAACTTGTACAAGTCTGGGTGTGGTTACTTCAAATCGTGGGAATCGCAGTGGTTTATCATTCCTTCAGGTATAAGAATAAGAGATAAGGAAACAACAATTAGCGGCGGAGATGGAATGAATGTATATGCTTCAGGACCAATTGAGGAAGATGTTTAGGAATGACAACACGATCAACAAACAGGACGCAGTTATCAACGAATGATGGGGAGTCTCTTTTTTTGTGGAATAGTTTTAAGTCTTCTGACTGAAGATGTGTGGGCCAGCCACAAAGGAGGCAGTGTATTAGTTTGTAAATTATTGGATAATTTTTGCTGGACTCTGCAACTTTTCTTGATGTTAAATTAACGGCGTGAACAGCACTTTTGAAAGTATTGAAAACGTCTTTTTTTTATCGAATCAGTAGCGACAACTGTGTTCTCATTTTCCAGCTTCTGATTACTAATCAATCTGGAAAGGGCATTCACATGACCAAAAGAGTTTGTAGATTTATACATGATATGAAAATTATAACCTAGTACAGTCACTGCCAATCTTTGCAGGCGGTTTGTTGTGCAAACTTGGATTCCTTTTTTCGATTCGAAAATCGCTACAAGCGGCATTTTGTGAAACTTCTTGACTGCGAAAATTAGAGCAAGTCCTTTCTTCTCAGTTTGACTATAAGTACGTTCTATTGAAGTTAGTGAAGCATGACAAATGGCCTTCTCTGTACCATCGGGAAACACATGTCAAAAAATCATCCTAATGCCATAATCTGACGCGTCCGTCGTTACCACAACTTTTAATTTAGGGTTATAATGGACTAAAAGTAAACCAGTTGACAATATTTCTTTTACTCTGTCAAACGATCGTTGGGATTCCTTCGACCGTCGCCATTTCGCGCCATCCAACAAGGGCTGGTTCAGCAGGTATCAAAAGTGCTGCAGAAACTGATCATAACTTGGCAACACTTCCTGCTACTGGAATTTGTCTAATCGCATTGGTATTATCAGGATCGGCCCTAACACCGTCTTTGTCGATCACGGACCCTAGATAATTGATAGTTTGTATAAAGAAATTGCACATATCTTCATGTGATTGAAAGACATTGTTTAAATTTCGACAGGACTCCATCAAGTCTACAGAACAGTACTTCTTGAACAGCTCCAGTAACAATGATGTCATCCAATTAGGCAAAATCTGCTAGTATTTCATATGTCACAATATCTATAATTTGTTGGAATACCGTTGGAGCCGTCTTCACACTAAAGGACAATCGCTGGTACTGAGTACTGATGGTTAAGAACTATTTCGAAGACTCATCCACTTCAACTTGAAGGGATGAGTCTGCTAAGTCCATTTTTGCAAAATGCTTCCCACCATTAAGGTTTTGTGAAGATATCTTCTGGTACAGGAAGTGGATATGAATGATCTTCCAATGCATTGTTCAAACATGTCGAGAAATCAGCACACAAACGTAAGGATCAATAGGTCTTTTAAACAATGGCTACTGGAGCTGACTAGGGTGAATACTTCACAGGTTTAAGGACACTCAGTTCCTCCAATCTGTTCAACCCCTTACCCACCACAGGTAGAGAGGGATATGGAACTGGACGTTCCGGTTTGAAACACGTTGAATGTTCGACATAAAACTGCTTTCTGCACCGTACAACATCCCAGAGTTTCACTGAATACTGAACTATATTTCGACATAAGATGATTGGTAAGATATTTTATTGTTGTGTGAGTGGATGTCTGAGCCGAGAGTGAAATCTGAAAACCAAGGAGAATTGGTGGTATACCCTATAATGATAGATGCTCTATATGATCAATTCCCAGAAAATCTAAATCATGACGATTTGTGAGGTAACATTTACCTCGAAAACTTTTAGACTTGGACAAGACATCACGTTCAATTTCACCGACCAGTTTTATCAGATCGCCGGATGCATTTCGGGCTCTAGAGATGGGTGGGGACCCACTTATACGCCAAGCATTACAATAAATCAGAGTAATATCTGACCCAGTTTCAATCTGAAGTTTGACAGATATGCTATATATCAAGATCTCACCATATTTATTTTTTGCAGACAGATGAACACTCGAAACTTCAAAAGTGGTATGAACGTTCTTATGTGGGATTGATTTGGATCTGTTTATACCGGAAAACGAAGTACTATAACTCCGAAAAAACTCGTCTATGTGACCGGATCGCTTATATTACATTTATTAGCTTTGTATAAGCATCTTTTGTCAGAATATCAACCACAACACAAAACCAACAATCTCCTTTCAAACTTTGTAAGTTACTAGCCGTACCTTGAAATTTCTGTTGATGTTATGATTTCAGGGTAAATACATTTATTGCACATGTATCTCTTTTTTTCCAATTAGTTTCATGTCGCGAGAATTACAAAGGTTCTTCGTTCTTTCAAGCATAAGAATAAGCGACGCGGATACGACACTAGTAGTATCATTAAAACTCACACAATAAAGTAAGTCTTAAAGCGGATCACTTTTAAAGTTAATAATCTAATATCTTGTCAGTGAATAACCACCTTAAGCGTTGCAATGTTGAAAAGTGGTTCATTATATGTAAGTCTAATACAAAAAACCGAGAACTACTTTTTTGATTACATGAATAATTAAATGAATTAGAAATAGTCAGTTAATGGTAATTGGGCTAGAGAAAGAGAAAAAAAGATACAAACAAACGGTATATGTTACCAATATACACAAATAATCATGTGAAGTAAACAAACACTATGCTAATGAGATTTAGTTTTTTGAATGAATAAAAATTTAAATGAAGAGGATAATGGTGTGTATTGTACTCACTTTACTTTCTACATGGTATTGTACATAGTAAGGCACTGGATCAAGAGTAATCCATTTTATTCCTAAATGTTCATTAAATGAATAACCTGGAGGTAAGGTAGCTAGACGCATCTCATTCTAGTTGAATAAATATATGCATGAAAAACACAAAGCAAATGACATGATTTGGAGATAGAAAATGTATATATTTAAAATAAAATTTAAAGATAGTTTTTTTCTAACATAAACTTCAATCATTACGATATCTACTGAAGCATACGTCTCATCCTAGAAATCTACATATGTAGGTTCGTGTATCAGGACAAAGAATCATATCGACTGAGTGTGACAGTTTCTGTTCATAGTATTGTGCTTGGTTATACAAACCTTAGTACATAAAACAGGATTTAAATCAATGACTAAATGTTTTAAAGGCTAGCGTTGTCGTCGATGAGTCAAAGTTTTGCAAATCAGGAAGTTCAATACAACTGTTTTCCCAGTCTAAGATAATTAGATAGAAAACATACCCAGTTGGGGTCTTAAAGAGGTACTTATTATTGATTCTAGAGAAAGAATGCAGCATGACGTCTTAATGGGAGTCACTTTAGTTTCAATAGTCATTTTAATTCTTATGGTAAAAGACATTGATTAACAGTACCTTGTCATTTGGCAAGCGACATATTAAGGGTAACATCCAGTTAATAAAAATATACAATAAACTTATATTCACAAGAAGAACGTATGAAAATACACTATCATCATGTCTTGACCAGTTCACATTGACGAATTTGTTAGTTATTACAGTGGTAAGCTTAGGGATGACTCATTATGCTTTTTAGAACTTCGTTATTGTTTCAAATCTTCATTGACATTTGTATGTAGACCAAGCAATTTTCATAATTAGTAGAATATTTGGAAAACAATACAATTGAGGATAATACGGGAACACCTTTTATAATTTAGTACCGTGCAAATTTTCAGTATGGGGTTGTGAATATTGTTGAATTTTATTGAAGTCATGAGCCGATCTTAGTTAACCCCCCGGGGAAAACCTGGATGCGCTGAACTGCCATTCCGTCTTAGTACGGGATTCCTCAGCAGTGCACATACACGACCCCGTAACCGGGAATCGAACCCAAGACTATCGTTTTCGCATGAGAATGCCTAACTTCTAGATCACTTTCCTATTTATTTATTTACATTTTTGTTTGGACACATAAGCATTGGTTCAAGGGGTCACCAAATATATGTGCCACACAATAATAATGAGGTTATGAAGAGGTAAAGAATAGAGGGTGAGTATAATAAAAGAAGAGCAACAATGAGCAGAAATTAGTGTGTGAGTGGAATAATAATAATAATAATAATAATAATAATAATAATAATAATGAGAGAGGCAGTTTAGTTAGGTGAAATACAACCAGAAAGAATTTTCCCAGTTAAAATTATTCTCACTTTGATAAAGTAAAAGAAAATTATAGTAGGATCGCTACTGGCTTTTATTCTGAGCCATGTCTGATAATGTCTCAAGCCACTGTGTTGTACTAGGACCCCAACCAAGGAGTCCAGATCAGCGAGCCAGCATTCAACGGTGTTTATGTCTAACCTTAATCAATCCACGATACTGAGCTAGACTATCTATTTCATTTACATTGTAATCTACAGTCTGCAATAGTGATAAAGTAAAAATTACATTCGAACTTTTAATCTTTTTATTTGAACATAACTGCTAAATCTACATCCATCCTACTCATTAGAATTAGAATTTAACAGATATTGATAGAAACTAGCGTTGAAAAAGGAGAAATGTCTATATGGACAAAAATTTCATCCATAAACAATAGATTAGAACGACAGTTATAAGTGTATTAAAATGAAGCTATGGACAAAGAGAAGAAAGCACGAACAAATGGGAATTGATCAATTTATATTGATATTTTTCAGATAGGCATATTTAAGTGTGAATGTATATATCTATATAATATGAAACTCTGCCTGTAGCTTTTCTAGGGTTACTAACGGTTCCGAGACCGGGTAAAGGAGGGTCTGGTATGGGGTCAGTAACCCAGTCCCGTAGAAAACAACCTTGCTAAAAATACACTAACCACAATGAACAATTTAAACTATCTAAATTTCACCCTAGGATTTCAAGGATCTTCATTTAAAGGAATTATGACGCCTCCTGGTGAAAATCGAGATTCTTCGGAAGTCACAAGGCTCATATTTTTCATATATCTTGGAGACAAATTACTGATGACGTCCTATGCTACTTTTGAAAAACATCGTTTTAAATTTCCCTACTTCAGAAATGACTATTAGTAAAATGGCCGTTGTGTTCACTTTATTTGATGGGTCAATTTACCACCTGACAAAAATATTTCATTCTATTTTTAGTCAGTGGAAAAAAAACAAGGTCAATATACATTAAGTAACAATCGTAGAAACTAACTTACAGAGAATGTGAAATAGACAAATCCTGAATGACAAATTTTTGCATTCAATGGTGCGAAACTACCCATTATTCCATCGATTGAATGTGGAAATACACGAAGTTGTCCTGAATCTGTAGCAAATAACCAAATAGGATTTCCCCCGCATACAAATACACCACGATGGTCTCCAATATTCTCAAAACTTCTCAGCATATGTGTTCTGGTTAATAATGTGGACTGTGAAAATAAAATAATTAATTAACCGAGGCCAACAACACATTTACTAGCATGGTTTAAGTTTGCTAAACGTGTCTGGCATATATTACAGCGGTTATGTTATTTTTAATCAGAGGTGAAAAATAACTCAATCAAGAACTTCATAATTTAATTGTTTTCAATTTGTGATTAAGATACTCAAAGGAACGAAAGGAAAAGCAAATTAATTAAGCGAACTAGCAGATTTGTTGAAAGATTCTCATATACTGCATGCGCAGATTGTCTAATAAAATCATGTATTCAGCTAATTTTTTCCCAACTTTTATTAATGCATGACTTCAACACAAAGGTGACAAAAACCACTCTAGTTACATTGACTAATTTTAAGACGACTCATTTGTTTTTATTACTGTACTAACTAGTCAATAAATTGTGTTGAATAGGCTGAGGACATACATTACATGGTCTACTGAACACATACAGTGACTTACAAGCTCATTTAGCTGTTTTGATGCCATTTCTATCTAAGCATTTAGTTCTAAAGAAAATCATTCTGTTGTTATTGCATTCTCTGAATTGTATAGTGTAATGAAGAAGCTTATATAAATACTTTGGGCATTTTTAAGACCTACTTAATTTAAGGGGAACAAATCATTTAGCCTGGACAATGTGTAGCTGACTGAAAACATCCGTTTCTTGACCCCCTCTACATCAATCCTATTCTCATAGTACGGAGCAAAAAATTGGATATATACCTGAACATCCATAATTTTCGGATCAGTTCGGACACGACGTGGTGCAACAAGTGGACAAGGTAAAGGTAAACGTCTCCATCGTAATCTTCCTTCATAAAATGTTCCAGAAATAAGAGGATACGATTCATCCGGTGAAGGGCATAATGCTTCAAAAAATGCTATTTCTTGACTAGTTCGAACCTTGATAAAACAACAAAGGTAAACACTTTCTTGATATACTTTATGATAAATATCTATGATTACGATATCTTCCATGAAGAAAGGCCAGTATACAAGTAGTTAACTTAACTTCATCTAGGAAAAACAAGGTTTTTATTCTTATACTTAGAATATACACAATACATCTCTATGGTAGTACAGATTTGCTGGATATTATCCTGGACGTGATAAGAATCGCTGGTTAGAAATCTGCGATTTTACAGATCAAAGTTAATCGCGACTGATAACCGTAGATAATTTACACCCATATCACATTCTTTCATGCAATATTTTCCGAAGCACATCTTTAGTTACCTTATGTTGTGGTTCAATATAACGTACCAAATTTAGTTAGACACCTTTGAGAAGCACAAGCTAATAAACGACCTTATCAGTCCAGTATAGATCTCCTCGCTAGTATGCATTTACGAGTTCCCCAGGCATTGAATTCAAAACCTTCAAGCATCAGGACAAACCTTCTTGATCGGAAAGTTGATGTCCAGTGGTTTGAACTTATAATTTCAGTCCATTTTGCTGCGCAACCATCACTTAATGTTGGTATTTGTGTGGCACTAGATGTGATTGAACACCAATGGTCATAGATTTTCACTAGCACTATGGAGATTTTCTCAGGAAGTTAATCACTAGTGAGCTTATGATGAGTTTTTTAAATGTGGGGGATAGAGGAGATTTTTGAAGGGTGTGACTTCACAAAACGGATCAACTCAGGTTCATTACAATTTCATTAGTAAAAGTGGCTAACTAAATGTTATGGTTACAAATAATTTGTAGTAAAATGTAAGATCTTTTTGAATAAAAGAACTATAATAATAAATTATGTAATTCCCCATTGTGTTTATATGTATTTTGTTAACTTGTTTTCATGTCAGAAACCCACAATTGAACCTTTGACAACAAGACAATTTATTCGATTTATGTAGAAAACAAAACATTACAATGCACTTATAATAGTTAAAAAAACAATATATTTATTAAGTTTTTCGACCAGCGAGAAATTTGTAGGTATTATTGAAATTGAATGCAAATTTATGTTGTTTTGTGTGTGACTACATTTTATTCAAGTGTTTATTTTTCGTCGAGCAATATACAAAATAAAATTACCAATGACAGTCATTTAGCATCTCAATCATAAAAGAATATAACTTATATTAAGCAGGTTTAGAAATGTTCAATGAACGATACTTTATATCTAAATAGCTTCAAATAAATTGAGCATCGAGTAGAGAGTTAATAAGAAACATAACTTTGCAATATCCCGATGGGTAGAAACTGTATATTTAACGTTTAGTGACTTAGTGTAAATCATTTCTTCAGAGTACGTAAATAAAAAAACCGAAAGAACATGACAGAGACATGTTTAGACTTATTTTAATTTTGATTGTACTGAAAATATTCCGGTTTGTTTCTTTTGCATGGTTTAAACTTGTATCAGTTTTATTTCGGTTACTTATTTATTTGCACGAAAGAAGTAACCTAAATTAAGTTACGTAAACGACAGGAATACAAATTTCTACACGTTGGGATATGGCAAAAAAATGTATTATTAAACGCTGTACCTGTTATGTGTGAGCCCCAACAATACCTTGTTAAATGAGAAAAAGGTTCGGAATCATTAACATCATTAACAACCTACAAACAATTATAAGCAAAGATGGATAATGACTAGCAGTGGAATCCAGGACGTGCTTTTCGTCTTACTTGGGTCTCGTCAGTTGATGTTCACTCTGGGACTCAAACCCAGTACCTTTAGCTTCAGAATCCATCGCGTTATCCATTCTGCTACTGAGTCCTGATAGCCACTTGCTTGTGCAATGGGGTGGTTATATTCACTTGGTGTTGTATACTTGTATCTTCCCATTGTTATTTAGGACTGCGATTGATCAGTCTCTTGTTGGCAGGTACATTCAGATGACGAGTCTCAAATAAGAAAAAATACGCGTCCTGGATTTCAATGCTAGCCACTATCCATCTTTGCTTATAAAGCTTGTGACTTCAGGCAATGTCGAGGCAGTCTACACAGGATGCATACATGCCAACAAGAAACTGATCAATTGCAGTTCTAAATAACAATGGGAAGATATAAGTATACAACACCAAGTGAATATAAACCTACCAACAAGTTTGAATTTTATCCTTAGCAATGATACATGATGTAATATTCACAAGACTATTTATTTTTAGTAGATTGTATAACATTTGTAAGTGATAAAAATGACAACAACCATATGCTTCAGTGTATTATTCAATGGGTTTTAAGTTCTTCAGTATGACTATATGTGATATTCATTGACAGTGTGAAGTTTATATATACTATTCGATATATTAGATTTAAAGTCATAAAACAATATGGTTGTATGGACAATATTTGAAGACTCTACATTCAGAAAAATACAACAGTGTTAGTAGAAATTTTGAATTAAAAGTGCTCTTTATTATGGAATTCATGTAACAATATGTTAAAAAAAACTATAGATATATAACTAACGTGAAATGTAAGGATTTTTGAATTATGAAGAAAACCACTGATCTAGGAGACACTCGACAGAATTCCAGTTTTCCCAACTAGGTAGTACTTATAGTTCTTAGACAATATGTGTATTTCATAGCTTGGTGATAAAAAATTTAGTTAGTGACGTTCCTAAAGGCAAACTTAAACAGAGGTAATAAATTAATTATGGGGATTATTACATTGGCCTCCCGAATGCCCTGGTACGGCCGAGAATGGGGAGAGTCCGCTCTCCCTCTCGAAATGCTTTCATATGGCCAGCGAATATATAGCCTCTGATAGGGAAGTCCTACTCACTGCCTTCTCGTGGCATTACTGTTGTTTACGAAATTGAGAGGACGAAAAGCGAATGTCCGGTGCTCTAACCGGGTTGGTGGATACTGCGAGTCCACCTAGGGGAGTTGGAAAACCCTGATTCCAAACCAATGGTGTACATGGGCTCCAGGATCCTGAGGCAACAAATGGCGTATGAATCAATCGTTGGTCACTGGCTACCATGGGACTGCATCTCCTCACGATGCTCCACTGTCTTGTGGATCAGAATTTTAGGTCAAAAGCTCCGGGTGTGGCCCCCTAAGAAAACCACCTGCTTCAGTCTAGGCACCTGGGCAGTATCACAGCCCTCACACAAACCAAATGAGATTTGTGAGGCGCATATTTATCTGGTGCTTCCTTGTACCAATATTTATGTGTTTAAATAATAATAACAATAATAACATTGATTCGTATGTAACCACTAATTCAGATACTTAGGACAAATTAATCGATTATATAAAGAACAAGTTTAGTAGGTGAAAACTATCACCAATATATAAGTTAACAAGAAATTATCATAAATTTACTAGTGATAAGATACGCTATCAGTCAGTCAACTACGACGTAGCTACAACTCACATAACAACGATTTAACTACTCAATGCATTATTACACACATGTTACAAACGTTTCTTATTTAGAAATAAGATTTTTTATGTTGTCAGGTATTCGACGCTTGTAAATGACAATTTTGTGAGAGCTTACTTTCTAATAATAAGTAGTATAGTCAAATAAACTAAAATACGTACATAGCCGGAACAAATAAAAGCGAAAACAGGTGATTATAAAATTTTGAACTGTAATATAGTTACAATATCATATTTGGAGTTGCGGGTTGGCATAAAGTAGGAAAATTTAATTGTTGACAATTGCTTTTATTACATTTAAATATAACTCGTGAGTCCAGTGAGTATGGAGGATTTGCTTATTATAGTTTTTTTGTCTTCCAGATTTGTGAAGTCTAACTAAACTCCAGGTCTAATTTGTAAAGGGGTTTTACTCCCAATCACCGATAACAGAAGCTTGGTGGTATGTTGGACGGGGGCTTAACCTCAGAAAAGCTAGACAAAATATAATCTTGATGAAGACGCATGTTGTATTAGTAATTTCCCCATTCTTTACTAAGTACTATATTTCACGTATAAAAGTAGCAATGATAAATAAGAAAAACAGCCTACCATTAACACTGGGCGATCTTTATCGATTCCGATAGGATAGACAAGAATTTCCAAAATCGGCGGTGGTATACTATCGTCTTCCGTATATGATACACTGAAAAAGTGATAATAAATAATAATTATCATTCAGAGAAAGAATAGTTTGTTTGTTAGAGCAAGACATTTTGCGAAGTATAAACGTTTATACATCTAATATACATTGTGTTATACTACGCTATTATTGTACATGGATAAATAATTAAAACGTTATGTTAATTTTTAAAAAAATATGTCCCAGGTAAGTTTAACTAAATAATTTATGTATGAAATATACAATTTTGATAAGTATACTGTTTCAACCGCGATTCTACTGCTAACACTTGAAACCGGAAAACTACTGCAATTTTACGACGTGAAATATGAACGCGGAGACAGGTGCAGCAGATTCTAATGACAATCGAAAATACGTCGTGTTGACCAAAAATAGGTACACTCATATATATATATATATATATATATATATATATATATATATATATATAAACTTGTACACACACTTGATGATTAGTTAATAATACCACATGGAAAATACATATTTACTGGACGTAATTAACACTTAATTGATGCAGAATATTAATCTGAATTACATGTTACACTTTTTATCCCCATTTTATTATATACCTGAGGTAATTTGATAATAAGTATTTTGAACTGAATGCTGGAATCTAACTGAAAACGTTAAATTAAGGGGAGAAACTGTTTAGTACGTACTGATAACAAATGATAGCATTCGCAACTGAATCAGGATGATGTTAATATTGATGTCAATATTTGGCTACACTAAAAGTCTATTTTTTTCTATAACTTATAATTTTAAGCCCACATTTATACTAAGTCGGAATATACCATGAATGTATCATAAATTTTGCAAACTTTTTCCGATTATGAACTACTAAGGTTTGGGATCAAAATGGATGAGAATTTCGTTTAACTAAAATGTAATGTACCATTAGAGTCTTCCACTATTTACCAATCTCCAAAATGTCTACATGCATGTAGTGAACGTAATAAAGTAATCAATGACTTAAGAATAAAATTAACTTTATAGTGGAATCGTAAATTATTGACTAGGTGGAAGCTCAATACAACTGACGCTTCAAGAATGTTGTAAGCCTTTGCCTTGTGTACAATACAAACAATTTTAATAATACAATAAATTAACCGTGGGAACTTTGCAAAACAGGTTTAACACAATAATCGACAAGTCAAAAAATAGCAATTTATTCACACAACATAGAATAACTACATGTCGATCAGTTTTAAATCATCATATAACGATAGAAAACAAATATTATTAATTATTCAAAGGAAAAATTACTTTTGTGAGTTTGTATATTGTTTATGAAGTTGTTCACTACTTACACCTCGATGGTCTATCAACATCTGTGGAAGATCTGTAAAATGATGGACTTCATAGAGTAAAGTAAAATCGGGTAGACTGTAAATCTACAAAAAAAGGAATATGTAGACGTGCGTTAACACGATGTTCAAAGCAAATTTCAACCAATTAAAACAGAATATAACTTTGGAGAATTTTATATCAATTACATATTTTTAGTCATGTCACTAATTTTAATTGAATACATTTGGTAATGATGTTCAAATGTCGATCAATTTATTAATGATCAGTAAGTGAAGTTTCTCAGTCGTCTCACTGAAACGAATAAAGAATTACAATGATTTTTTTAGAAAAATAACTCACTAAGTATAGTTTTGTGTAAATGGCCGTGAGTCGCGCATTTTATGCAAGAACTAGCGATACTAGTCAGCTGTTCGCAACAAAGTAAATAAAAACGGCTTGAAACAGAAAATTCTAATCATAAAGCCGCTGCTGGTACTAGACTAAGTTAACAAGAAAAAAATGTTTAGAAAGATTTTTTGCATAACAGATGGTCTGCGGTTAGCACTGAAACCTAAGCTGAGAGTTTCGTCTTATACGGGACTTTTTAGCCGGATGCATCTAGATCCCAGAGTTAACAGTTACACTAAAACTTGAACCCAGTATCTTTCACTTCAAAAACCAAACGAGCCATCTACTGAGCCCGGGTGGTGCCTAGCTTGTGCAACATGTATGATGATTATATCATTAGTAGAAAGGAACCCCGAAATGCCCTGATACGGCCGAGAATGGGGAGAGTCCGCTCTCCCTCTCGAAATGCTCTCATATGGCCACGCGTATATAGCCTCTGACAGGGAAGTCCTACTCACTGCCTTCTCGTGGCATTACTGTTGTTTACGAAATTGAGAGGACGAAAAGCGAATGTCCGGTGCTCTAACCGGGTTGGTGGATACTGCGAGTCCACCTAGGGGAGTTGGAAAACCCTGATTCCAAACCAATGGTGTACATGGGCTCCAGGATCCTGAGGCAACAAATGGCGTATGAATCAATCGTTGGTCACTGGCTACCATGGGACTGCATCTCCTCACGATGCTCCACTGTCTTGTGGATCAGAATTTTAGGTCAAAAGCTCCGGGTGTGGCCCCCTAAGAAAACCACCTGCTTCAGTCTAGGCACCTGGGCAGTATCACAGCCCTCACACAAACCAAATGAGATTTGTGAGGCGCATATTTATCTGGTGCTTCCTTGTACCAATATTTATGTGTTTAAATAGATAATAATAATAATTTTATAACAGTTGTATATGAGTATTACAGGATTATACATGGAGCAAAAAAGTTCGGAGAACAATTTCTTCATTGAATACCTGAGCAAACACAATGTACCAAAGTAGGAATACAGAAGAGATTCAGTCATGTATAGTATTGTCAACTTTATTAATGTTATAAAAGCAACAATTACTTACTTCGAGAACACCATTGGTGAATACAATAAATGCGAAATACTTCGATAGTTTCTCTTCTGCTAAATCATCCATACTAGGAGAAAAGATAAAATATAAACTTAATCTAACAATGAAAAAATTCATCGGTGAGAAGAGGAAGAAAGTTTTTTATTTATGAAACGATAATACAATATATGCGTAACAAATACTATTTTAAACACTTGTTCGATGAAATCGTACGAACAACAAAAGAACATATGAATGTAAGACTGAATGTAATCACTGGCTTTCATTTAATAAGGAAACATGGGCATTTTTTTTTTTACCGAAAACCAAGTTTATCGTTACTATTTGACTTGAAGTTTCCATTCGGCTTTATCAATTGATGGGTCGTGACAATGTGCATTAATGAAGCGTGTACCGGCTAGGCAAAGAAAATATGGTGGTTGAAGTCATACTACTAACTGTGCTGGGTTGTAGTGGCAGTAAGGCGTTTCTCTCAAACATTTATTCGCTTATAACCTTGACCATTTTTATACAAGTGTATGTGTGTTCATCACTTTATTCATTATGTCTGGCTGATTTTTAAGACTATAAATAGTGAGTCACACTTTATCAAAACGAGTTAGCCATTTCTGTCACCTCAGTTGGAGTGCATTTCCCTTCCCATCTTATCATTGGTCTGCATTAACGAATGTCCGAAATATATGTTCCACAAATACTTTCGCATTCAATTTCTCATATTTACTTTGTTATTAACCAGATTGGTAGGAGTAAATAGGATACATATTTCATTAACATCAAAATTATTCTATTATATGGAGTCAGAACACGAGCCACTAAAATCTAAAGAAGCCTGCTGTAGACTGTTAAGTCAAATTCCCCCAGTTGAACCTAAGCTTACGACGAAAGATCACCAGAACTGACAACGTCAATCAATCCCTTGTCTGCAAACTCATTGAAATTGGGTACACAAATGATACAGTTATGTTTGATGGACATGGTTTCAGGACCAGTTTGTAGAGATAGCGGGTTCACATTTAGGGACTGTTTCTATTACCTACTACTCTTGTTCACTATTTATTTGTTTATTTTAATAATGCTACACTTGTTTTCTCAATTTCCTCATCACCTCAGTTCCGTAATTGTGTAGTTCATATTTATTTTTGCGTTTAGAGGAATTAGTGTTTATGTGTATTACATAATAAAGACTCAGAATCCAGTCATATACTTTTTGTGAGTGCTACCAATACTACTCGGTTACCAACACCGAAATATAAGTGCTGGGATTCGAACCAACTATCTAGTGATTGAAAGTTGAGTGATTGATGTAAATAAATTCAAATCATGGAAAGAGTTAACTTACAGATTAGTTTCAGTCAAACTATTGTTTAAAGATGAATGAGATGTCGTAGACAGAGAAAATTTAGGTAATTTTAATGTACTATTACCAAGCGCTACAGAACCTTCTCTTTTACAAATTTCAATTGGTTCACCATAAAGTAGAATACTTTCTTCTTCTGATGCACTGATCAACGTTGCAGATTTTCTGAACATATGAAAAAAGAATGTTACAAGGATATATTACGTACAATTTGAATTGAATCGAATAATCTTAATTATAAGAAATCAAATGCCAATACTTACTCCGTTGGTGAGGCAAATGGTGCTATCGTATCCGCAGCTGGAGTAGTTGATCCGGGTTCCGGCCAAGATGTAGTTCCTGAACAAGAAACTAAGTGATCCAGAGAAGCAGTTGTGTGTAGGTTGAAAAATGAACTGTCAGCTGGTAAGTCTTTACAAGCCCAAAGCCATCGAGTTAAACGTCCAGCATGATCATGATATAAACTGAAACAGAGTGGTGCAGATACCTAAATATAAGAAAACGAAATGCATTTGTAATTTATTGAATGACTATACTAACTAAATTACAACTGTCAACTTAATCATTTATCTTCAAAAATTCGATACGAGAAATGTGGAAATTTTCTGGAATTGATGCTAGTCACAAAATAGCATTATTATTCCATTATATAGCCTGCACACATTAAAATGATAAATGGTAAAAGGAAAAAGTCAACGTAACTCAAAAGACTAATTGCATCGAATGAGAGAAGAACGGCAATGAACAAGATAGACTACCTCCGTTAATCTAGAGATCTATGAAGACAGATTAGGAGTTAAACAATATGACATTTGGTTGCTTACATAAACGCATGTAGACCACCATTAATCTGTTTGGGAAACTGAAAATTCTGGGTCAAGAAAATTCGAAGTGTTGGAGAATTTTTAAAAATCTGGCACACAAATTAGTTTGCAACCAACAGAGGTAGCAACATATATTCAATCAAAATGAGGTAAAAGTCAAAAAACCCCATGATTAGAGACCGATCTAACAAAAAATTAGTGAGTGTGAATACACATGAAGATAATAAGATTTTTTAGGACAAACAAAGTTATTAGAACGGATCAATTGAGTAGTTATGGGATGCTTCTAAGAAGCTTACTTTTATTTGGAGAAATTCCGGATTATGGTGTCTATGATTCTAATGAAAGGGTACAGTTAATGGAACGCAACAACCTTAAGCTTTCCCAAACTACCATTTATTACAATGACTTTCAGTCTGATATATTATTTATATGACTTAGTAATAATTACATCTTCATCCTGGCATCTTTTAGAAGGTTCCATTCGTTTGAAGGTAAACAATAAACTTTGAAGTGAAATCCTAAAACTAACAGCAAATATTCTCCTACATTTTATACTTTAAGAACTGGTTAAATAACAATAAATGAGAGCAAACTCCAAGTTATTTGCGAGAATATTTAGAAAGCATTACAAACGAATAAAATTTTGTGGCATATTGATATTTCAGTCGACTGGAAATTAGTTATATGATTCAATCATCAAAGTTTCGAATCCTTGAAGGAATCAACCTCAGATCAAAATTGAATAATAAATCTTATGAAAAACTATAATTGGACAAAAAATATACCAGAGAAATAAAACAGGGAACCATTATTTTTTATTACCTGTTTAACTTTCGGTCTGATCACTTCTAAATGAGTTGTAGATATTGATTTTGCAGGTTGATCACCATTTTCATCGATTAATGTAGATGTAATAATTTTATTATTTGACTTTTTTATTGGACTAAATATATTAATGTCATCTTGACTTTTTAACCGTACTAAGAATAATTCATCATCTTCAGTACATAATAAAATATAAGGATCAGCACAACTAGCTAAATGTATACGCCATTCTAATGTCACTTGAACATACTCTATAAGTCTTGGGCCATCAAGTAAACGCAAAGATGTAGGTGAAACCTATAAGCATGAACAAAATAAGACAAAGATAAGTGTTTAGAAAGAAAATTTCACACAATAATGAAGTAACGTATTATCAATGAACCGATTAAGTAATAAATATCAGAACAAATTGAAGTGAACAGGTATCTACAGTTAGTGAACAGATTGGCCATTACAAATTCAGCTTTTTCCCCTCTATAAAATAGCTTATCCAAAAAAATTAAAATATTGATTGGAGTGCATTTTTTGTATACATTGGACATAATGATAAATATTTGAGAATCTGACTAACCTGTAATATGTAGGGATAATCAACTCCCACAACATATTCTTTAGGAGATTTTATTTCATTTCGTTTGGTTAATTTAGTGGTTGCAATAGTAGTCAATTGATCTGGTATATTATCAGAATTATTATTGTTTTTATTTGTTTCCCGTCTAACTTGTTGAATATACTCAAAGCCCAAATTGAATGCACCCACAGTCATTTCTGTAGTATTGAATCCACTTACTTCAAGCTCCACTATTTCATGACTCACTTCAAGAATCTTTAAATTATAAAAGTATACACAAAATAACAAATTACTGCTATTCATTAAACATTTTGGTAGAATTAAGTATAACTATTCACTTTATGCTAGTAGATATCTCTTCAAAAGAGTTGTGTAGGTGATATTAATTGTAAATTAGTTAATTCTTTTGGATATTACGGCTGTCCAGTGCTTCCAGGTTTTCCATGGTGGTCTAGCTTCAATTGACTCATGATTTCAACTATATAATATTTGAGTAATTGCTTTAAACTAATCTGATAAATCGCATTGACGGAAAGTCAAGCTGCACCTTACAGAGACTGAACACAAAGGGACGAGTTATATTGTATGATTAGACAACATTAAAATAATTAATAAATTGAACTGCAGTCAACATATGATACAGCTCAGCTTATTTTTTTATACAAGTTGTATTATTATCGACAGTGAAACCATGTCACTGATAAATTACGAATTTTACTGTAATAAAAAAAGGAAAAATATCTTATCCATAAAAAAGTGACTATCTTCACTTGAACATTATAAATATAAAATGATATACGAGTCCCTAGTGTACCGTCAGTTTTCTTTGATTTGTGGTAATCTTAGTAAATTTTTGTGTACAATTTGTCTAGATCGCAGAAACAGGTAGCCCAGATGTCCAAACAGGCCGCCGTAGCTCAACATAATAAACAATAGCTCAAATAATGTGAATTCGTCAGACAATTTATTCCGTAGGTTAGTAAACTAAAACAACCCGTACCTGGAACAAATGTGCATTGTCTCGAGTTATCCCATTTAGCGTAGTTCATAAGCCCAGTACAAGTTTATGGCACTCAACTTTGGTCCATGCAATTTATTTATGTGAGCTAATGATACTACCTGACCGCCCAAACGAAAGTAAGTGGAGGCGAGTTTGAACCAGTGACCTACTGGTTGAACCCTGAACGCTTTAAACACTAAGTGAATTATTCTGTATGTCCATATATATTTAACGTGTCTTAGTACATAAAGGTTTCATAAAACTTTTCGAACGCCGACGTTAAATACATCAGTAACGTAGGTTAAATGGTAGTATAGCTACCAGTAATTGGTGTTAAACTTCGACAGCTATATGATTTTGTTTATAGTATGATTTTTTTATAGTATCAAAGTATTTCAATGTATTGTCGCCTAAACTGTGCATCCACTACGAGTAGGACGATATCGGGTTTTTAAGAATAGATTATTATTTTTACCAGCTTTTTAATGAGTATTAACTTCTGATAAATAATTGTTTGGAACTTGTTGAAAAGTTCAACATCTCGTTTTTTTAATATTAGCTTTTACATGAAAATTTAGTGTTAATAATAATCATAAAATAGGTACAATGATGAAACACAAATGAAAAATTATACCCGGTAGATGCACATAAAACTCAGAAATGTGGGATATAAATTAAGACTGTTAGGCGAGCTATATTATATGGTTTTATTGAAAAAAAGATATTACTCAGTACTGGGTCTTTGAGAAGGTGGTAACATGGACAAGGGCAGAGATAATTAGTGATGTGAATTTCTGATGGCTACTCGAAATCATTTAGTGGTAAATACAGCTAAACGTTACACTATATTATTTACCTCAATTACCAGACTGGTAAATATTGGTTAGAAATAAAAAAATTAGTAGTCTAGACGTTACAAAACGAACCATACCATTGTAGAATCTTCTCTGGTCAATAAAAGATAACTATGTGTTAGATCACTAGATAATTCCGATTCTGCATCAAAGTTGTCTTCATTTACGACTGCTTTTTCATTTTCATCAGATATATTTACAACTGGTTCATTATCCTTAGAAGTTTCTTTGTCAGCATCATTATCTGTAACTGGAACAAAAAACAACAAGAGAAGAGCGATTCAATAAAACAATGTTAAACAGAATAGAGGACCTATATGATGAACTATCTCTATGATAAGAAGTGAGCTATTGATAAAGCATGATGAACTTTAGTGGTCCTAGTGTAAGAAGGCAAGAGGCAGGAGGAAGATATATATATGTTGTGAGAAGTTACTAAGTATTTATATAATACATATACGTAGCCTTTAATCATCCATCTGCACTTTTGGCGTAATCTGCCAACACCATACTTTTAGTATAAAGAAACACTTCACTCCGTCTGACAATTGTTGTAACTCCGACGCTGCGTCCCGCTATATACTACTTACAAACAACCCTGCCAGTATCATCCACGACACTAGTAAGGTGAGAACAAGTGACCTTTTCCCTCTTCTCACAATTTGAGAAATTGTTTCTCTTTGACAGAACCTAAAAGAAAACCCAAATCGTTTTAATTACATAGGGAGGAGAAAATGCAGAGCTTAACCAAAAGCAATCATTTTGAGAATATTTGATTTTAAGCTTAAGATTGTATCCACACGTTTTAGAATTATACAATTAAAAACGGAACTCTATGAAGTAAGCAGGTGATATTATTTAACTCTCCCCTTAGAAAACGAGAAGACAGTGTCTCTCACTATACTGGTTTTCTTTAAGAAACGCCTACCAAAAGTCTCGATAAAGTCACAGATACGAATTTATCAAGTACATTCTAACATTTTCTTATGTCTCCATACAACGGTATGAGCTCAATAAATGAGCATTTCATTTAATGTCAGTCAACTGAATCCTAACAATAGGAAATTTCTACCATCGATTGCAGTAAATTCGTATTATTCTTAGTTATGAGAGTATCATTTACTACTTACAATGTAACCAATAACAACGTATGATTTTTGAATAATCCAGGCACTTTTAATGTAGGGAGATTTGAATTCTTACCAGAAACATTTGAGTTATAACAATAATCCATTGCGAATATCGATTCACATTGACAACGGAATAACAGTTTATCTGGGGAAAAAATGAACATATTCCTTAACGAACACGTATACTGGCTAACCAGTGTACAAGATCTCTTATTAGTTAAATTTGACAGAAGGAAGTTATGAATTACATTATGAATAAAGGTTACAAAACTTACTAGATTCAGAGACACCTATGGTTTTCTCAGTGTCTTCGTTGAGTTCTGTTGGTTTTTCTACTAAGTTCTCATCTATCTTTTCTTCTTCTGAATGAATTTCCGGAATTTTCAGTTTTCCGTTTGAAGCTGTGGTTGGACTACTGTTTGTTCCAATCGAAGGTTTACTAACAGGAGAGGAAGGAATGCTTTGAACAGGAGTAATTATAGGTGGACCATAAAGGGACCATAAACTCATATATTCAGGCAATTCAAAAGCAGTTAAACCTCTTGGTCTTACACTTGTATGCAGAAGTGCTACACCTCCACCAGAAACCGGATTCTTCTCAGTTGGTACATTAAATGAACGTGGTATACATGCCATTAACTCAACATGGTGCATTTCAGTTTGTGCATAAGTAAGAGCCTCATCTGTAGGATCAGTATTACCAGGAGCTAAACATGGAACTTCACCAGACGTTAGTTGTCCCATTGGTCCCAAGTTGATCAATCGGTCTACTACCTAGAAAGAATTGGACAGAATGTTGAATATATGCAAAACATAAAAATTACTTATGTAAATCATCCGGTGTTTTCACTACACAAAGATTTTGTGTCGTAAACAAATAAAAAATAGTGACTTCATAGGATTTTTATGTACACACTTGCGTTAAGTTTACAGTGAATGGAGTTCCAAAACATGGCCAATCGTAGAACTTTTAAAAATAATTTATTCAGAGAATGTGAAACTAGGCAATAACTATGTCAAAATGAGCATTACGTAAGATGGACAGTAAATTACACCTATAAGACTCCATTAAGACTATAAACGAAAAGCATTTAATATGAAAATCTTAGGCTTCCCTGAATTACACTAATCCATCTGGATAGGCAGGAGCTCTATAGAACAAAACTTTATAGTCTACTTGAAATGGAAAAAGGTGTGAGAAAACAACTTACTCTGAAACTATAATTAACAATTTCTCGATAAATCGAAGGTGGACTAAGAATACTTTCACCATAGAGTTCAACATCAACTTCATCAAATTTATAATGATTATCTGATATGATATCATTTTCATCTAGTGTATTCCTTTTTGTACTTTGTGATAGCGACTTTGATATCGTCTTGTCATTTTCCCCTTCTTCTATACGAGGACATTTATTAGGAATCTAAACGAGATAAAGAACAAAACAATGAAATTAAAACAGCAATGTCACATGAAAAAACACACATAATCAAATGTATAATAATTAATAGGATATACTTTTATGATTATTATAGACTTTATGATAAACAGAAAATAATTTCGCTACTATTAAATGAACTTATAAACTAATATCTGATTTTTATGTTAGGTGATTGAAAGTAATCAACAAAAACGCTTAGATCTGCGTTTTTTTGATAGATTGCTGTTTTGAGGCGTTATATCTACAATCTACAGTGAACTAATAGTCCATATCAGATTCAAATATACATCATCCAGTGTCACAGACACAGAGGATAACTAAATTAATATATTTGCAATTTGTATCAGGAAATCTAATTTTTCTACTCATTGGGATATAACAAATATATTTATTTATTTATAACAATCTACCCAATGCTCAATTTATTCAGAATTATATAATCAAAACTTGGTAATGCCACCTACAAAGAGGATAACATTGAGCTACTCCAGAAGTGGCTGATTCGCCGTGGAAATCATATTTTCGTTAGATATTGAAACTCTAAAGTAAGCGAAATAAAAAATTATATGTCGGGAATTCATTTTGGCCCAAGATATGTTAAGCCTAGATCAAGGTGAAACTAATCTATGTTAAAACATGTACTGATATTAGTAAACAAATAGAAAGGTGATTAGTAATTAAGAGGAATCACTGCACTGTCGGAAGTTTACATGAGAATGATTATCTTCAGACAATCTGATAAAATAGATTCCTTTAGAAGTATGGAAGGAATGTGAGTGGTGTAAACTACAGGGCCTTAGAACAGGCTGTTTGAGGTCGCTTCGTAAAGCTTGTGTTTTTTTAAATATCTTTTCGACCACAACAGATTATTAAATGATAAGGTGAATACGTAAATTTTAAGGGCAAACTTTATAACCTGTTGTTTTCCACAGAGTTAGAAATGTTATTCTGATCCATCATTGTGTGACCGTGTATGTTGAGACAATAAACGTTTGATTGATTTCAACTACGTTTATTGACTTGATGAAATCTCAAGCTGTTAGCGGGAAATAAACCGGATTAAGGCATGTTATGTGCATGATCGTGATGGCGCACGCTGATTGGCTAATTCTAAACCAATCAGCTTTGGCAAATTATTGGAGAAACATCAAGGAGTTTCTTATGCATATACTATAAGTATATGAACGTTTTTCTAACCATTGATTGCTGTTCACCTACCCTTGTTATTTTGAATACAATTTCGTTCCTGTTCAACGTGTTCTGATTTCGGGGTCTTGTCGAGTGTCATCGTATAAGAATACTAAGCAATAGGAGTAGCTGGGTTGTTTATTAGCAAAACAATTATAACACAAGCAATTATCATTTCAACCGTCACAACTTGGATTGGTTAAATCTTCAGGTTAGAACTTGGTATGAATAAGACAGAAAGTCTACTAAAATGTAAAGGGACCAAAATTTCGGCTGTCGGCCAAAAACCATACGATTTTAACAGTTTCTTAGATTGGCTATTATACGATTCAATTACTTAGTGAATAATACTGAGACGTAAGGGACTGGAATATTTTAGCTGTCAATAAAGAAACTAACCTCATCGGAATCGTCTTCAACAATACTTTTTCCATCTACGAGTTCTGAATCCTTCAACGTATTATTAGTACCACTGGATTGATTTAACAGCTGGTGATCCACTTCTTTTCCATTTGCATCAACACACAATAAAGAATAATCGATTTCCATTAAGACAGAGTCGCAAAAACGTGAACCAATGAATAGATATTTCGATTCTAGTAGAACCATCTGAAGAATTAGAAAAATGGGTTTTGAATATATGGAGTATTAATTGTTAGAATGACGCCTTATACTCCATGACATACTCTTTATTCACATTAGACAATTAATATAGAATTTACTTAACTGAAAGATTGCTGAAATTAGAGACTATTACTAGTCAACTTATAAAAGCATGCCAGTATTTTCTCTAAGTTTAGAGATTGGGAATGAACACAGCACTTACACAATGAGGAGGTACTGCGTGACCAACTTTATGAAATAACAAACTGGTCACAGTCTGAGTGGCTTGTTCAAGCCAGAGTGAGAGCAAATAGAGATTCCCAGATCGCGTACCGATCAAAAACTGTGTTTCATTTAAAGTAACTACACGACAACCGTCAATGCTTAACGGACCACAAGATGGCACGTCTTGACCTACAAATTTAAAAATGAAATAGGAAGTTATAAAGTATGAAAAGTATGACAAGATTATACAATACCATTACCCAAACGTAAAAAACGTTTTTTTTATATGGAGTAATATTAGTTGCAGAACCATTGAAAGTACGGGAGCTATAGTAGACTGGTTTTTCTGTTTGACACCCTCAAGCAGTGTATATTGAGGACCCAGGACTTCCAAACCAGGTAATGAGTGAGTACTATTCTATTACGTAGGTCTTTTTAGTGAGATTTCTAAATTATGAAGAGATAATTTGAAGATACATTATCAAACCTCAACATTAAATAATTGAAAAACTATCCTATCGGAGTAATGAAATGAGAATCGGTCACTTTTAAAACATCAGATAGTCACGACGTAGAACCTGATACCTATGTACATCGGTTCAAGTTGCCATACTACATTAGAACGGAGAGATAAAACTGTCAGGCCAGACCCCAGAGTAGTAGGCGTAATAACACTATCAGTGGTAATAGAAAAGATAATGCACCGAAGATACGATTTGAAAAAAACGTAAATTAGTAAAGTAAAAACAAAAAAGGGTATGGGAAATTTAGAATCTCAGAATTTGGGGGAAGAGAAAGAACAGATGCACCTTGAGCCATTTCATTCAAAGTCTTTAACCGTTGGTTACGATAATCACTTGGATACCAACCAGGTAGTCTATACCTACCAACGTGGTTAAGTTCAATTGTCAGTGACTTCATGAACTGATGTCATGTTTTGGTTTGGCCACTCCTTTCTTTCAGCTCACTAATATACCAGAAAACATTGCCCTTCGAGGTAGGCGGTGGTTGAACATACGTAACATATGTTCTGACCACCTCAATTGATGAAGATTTACTACATTATCAGTTGGTTTCCCATCTTTACCTAGTGCTCTATTCCTAACTTAGGCAAAGCTTATGCCGTGGTCCCGAAAGGTATGAGCAATGTTTTGTAGACACCTGAGGTCGGATACCAGTAACTTACGAATATTCCCTATTCTTAATGTCCATGTTTCCCATCCAAAAAGTAGGACGGAGCGAACTGCTGAGTAGTAAACTCGTCCCTTGGTTAGAGGATATATATCTTGCCTACGTCACAAGTAAACAGTTTGGTAAAAGCCAATCGAGCCTTTTGAATCCATGCCGAGATTTCGTCAGACACCACACCATCGATACTGATGGGACTTCCAAGATAAGTAAAAATACCAAAAATACAATTTTTAAAAATCTTAATTGTAGCCAAAACAGCAAATGCACATGTAGGCAGTTTTAAAAACAATCTAATTACAGTATTTTTGACTGAAGAATTTCAAGTGTATATCAGTGAATAAATTACGGTACTGCTTCAAAGCTTTTCTAAAGTTGTTGAAATGTAAATTCATACATAGGGGATCAATAACCAATGAACATATTAAATATCATTTCTAGGCATCAAACTACAAGGTTTAGCTAAAAGTTGATCGATGGAGAGCTTATTGAGTGGTATGTTTAATTTGAACAAAACAATGAGCGGTTTTATACCATTCAAAATGTAACCTGCCGATGCCCTTTTTGTATCTGAACCTTTTTTACATTTCAACAATAGGTTCACTTTTGTTTAAGTAATAACAATTCATGTTTATTCGTTGAGCTGAATCATCAAACTCGAGTGATAGTTGACGTTAAATAATACTTATAATATGCACATAAGATATGAAGCAGATACTGCCAACAACAATTTACACTTGTAATATGTGACAGTAGCCATTTAGTACCAATGTGGTAACAGAGGGATGAAAGACTTACGCATAGGAAAATTGGTCGATATTTGTGCATAGCAATTTAGTGGGAGACCACATGATGGGAGCGTCTGTTTCAAATACAGAATGGAATTTGCAGCCATAACCACGACCCCACCTCAAAAAGAACAAAAAAAGATCTCAGTTAATGCATCATACATAATATGAACGATGACTAAGTCAAAAACATACCACATCAAGTCACATAAACAACAGTGCAATCTTAACATTACCATTAGTTACACTAAATACCATGTCAAGTCAAAAAGGTTTCGATAGTTGAATGGACCAAATGATTTACATACTAACATAAAACTTCTAAAAGATAATAAGTTCATCAAGTGAATTTCCCAAAAGCTTGAAATTTTACCTCCTCCTCAACTTTCGTTCAATAAATTGCTTTATTCATTATCATGAAAAGTTTTTTCAAGTGAACCAATTACTGGGATTTATATCCAGTCAGTCAGTTATAGATAGCAGGAATGTACGTCGAACCAAGTTGATATACTGGTAAGATTATACTAATAAAACGAATGGTCAAAGTGTTGAAATACTAGTGTGTAAACGATACTAAAACTGAGTACTGAAGAATAAAGTTTGAATTGTAGTAAACAGTACCAAATAATATTGAAGTTCAAGATTTAGAGTAATATACGGAGTGATTATATTCTTGTCATCGTGAATGATTTTTAGTCATGTCGCCTATCGGCTCTAACCATTGACTGTGTTTATCGTCTAGATCCCAGTGTAGTAGTCTACATATATCAAAACAGTTTAGACCAACAGTCTATCAGTATATGGATTAATGTCACATCCTGGTTTGACAGCCTCTAGTTTCCTCTCAACTAGCTTGTACCCTGGTCAGCATTGGTCATCGAAGTACAGAGCAGTCGGACATATATAACACATGTCTCAGTTATCTTAACCGATGAAGATTTACGGCTTCATTAACTGATTTCCCATATTTCTCTGACTTTATGATTCTTCCTCCCTGTATCATATCCTTATATGCAGTCTTTCTGTTATATATTACTGCCACTGAAGTAAGTGCTTCTATGAATTTGGCGTTCGTCTTGTTATGCTGAGGTACGGCAACTTGGATCGATGTATATATGTGCCTGGCCCTACGTTTTACATGACTCACTCGTGAATCGAATATACGGTAGTGTAACTGTAGAAATGACACCAATGAGAAAAATCGTCAAATGGTTCTTCTGTAAGCTCAGTATGATAATTTAACTTTACAGCAAAGTACAGCTTGACAGTGCTACAAGTATGAACAAAATTTCTTACCTATCGGTTGAGGAACAGAAATGACTGAACGACAGTCAAATGGTAGAGATTCTTGGAACCATATGACTGGATTAGTCCGCTTTTGAAGGTTGAAAGATAGTGCCACAATGCAGCATGTGTCTCTTCGAGCTGAAACGCGTCTGGATGAAAGTAATTTTCAAAATCAGTAACATACCCTGCCCATGTACCAATGGGTTCATACAGCACCAACAATGTTGGTTCATAAAATCCGTGAAGAAATTGCATGTCAAGGACATTGTTAATCTTTTCTCCAGTTGACGTGCTTAGACACGTCGTAAACGTGGCTAATAATGGTGCTGTCGCTCTTTGCTGCCACAAAAGCGAGTTTCTGACACTAATATGTTTTGGATCAGTCTCTGCGGAAACTAAAACTTCTGTACGTCGGAAAGGTAAAACAGCGAGATGACGGTCGTATACCAGCATAACGGCGCAACGTTGATGGGGATCCAGCCTTAGAATAGGAAGCTTTGTAAAGTTCATTCGACCTGACTGTGAGAAAAAATGAAGACTAATTTAGGACCATATAAACAAAACCTAGATACCGATGGAAGTCGTATGAAGGTGAGAATGTGGGAGATACGAAAGCGAAGTTTCAATGAAAAACTGAAGTCGACTAAAGGGATATTGTCTTGTCAAATAAACGACCAGAAGAATTGTCCATAAAAATAAACGCACTTACAATGCCACGAAAATACAATAAATTACTAAACAGAATCCGTGTGTATTGCAAATCTAAAGCCAAAAACAGCGGGATAATATTGTTGACAGAAAAGTCGAGGCAAGGGTGAGCAACATTACGTAAGAACATAAACATAAACTGATAAAGCACGAAAATTAAAAAGAGCAAAAGAATGTTTAAGAGTTAAGTTGGACTGAAACAATGAGTTACTAGTTTGGATCTCACTACTTATAAAGAATACAGACAAGGGAAAGTGGTTCTAGTCAAAAGATAATTAGTTTTTGAGGATAGATCGAATTAAGATATATTTACTACTCTCACATGGACGGGATGGTATGAAGAAAACGTCCCTTTCAAAATGCATAAGATAAGACAGATTTGTGAATATTTGGCTGAAAATTTACAGGCATACAAATATTTTCTCAATCTGGAATCTTGTAAGTATTAAAATCCGCACAAGCTTTGTGTTTGGATAACATACTTGAGACGAAAGAAATCACAGGGATATTAGTATTAAAATACGAAGGCTTGACTTGAGGCCAATACTAAATCCGCCCCCAAATGCCCTCGTACGACTGAGGATGTGAAGAGTCAGCTCTCCCTCTAGAAATGCTATCACATGGCCACGCGTATACAGCCTCTGACAGGGAAGTCTTACTCACTGCATTCCACCTAGAGGAGTCGGAAAACCCTGATTCAAAACCAATGGTGCATATGGACTCCAGGATCCTGAAGAAACAAATGGCGTATGAAACAATCGTTGGTCACTGGCTACCATGGGACTGCATCTCCTCACGATGCTCCACTGCCTTGTGGATCAGACCTTTAGGTTGAAGGCTCCGGGTGTGGACCCTAAGAAGACCTTCTGCTTCGGTTAGGGCGCCCGAGCGGCACAAATCAAGTTACTTGTGTAGCGCATATGTATTTGTTGCCCCCTTGTACCAATACTTGTGTTCACATAAATAAAAATAAGTCTACTGAATAGATTTGATGTGCTGACAATTTCATAGCCTTGCATCAATCAGCATAGTTCCGGGCAAACTCACTATAATACAAGTAGTGAGGTTCAGTTTGGTGTGTATTTGTAAACAGAACTGCCACAGAGGTCTCTGTGCGAGTACAGACATGCAAAATACACAGCATAAGGAAATATGGCGATTCGATAGTTAAATATGTGATAGTAAAGCAAACTAAATTACATGTAGGAGTAAGAGTATATTGTATGCCACATGATTAGTGTAAAGAAACTTCTCTTAATTTTCCTTAACGGGTAAACGCTCATTAGTCTGTGTGGTGAGATGGCCCATGTAGGTTTACAACAACGACAAACTATTTTATTTCAAATCAAACTTGAGAGTAAGATATCTAATAACAAACTATGTCGGAAACCTACAAATACTGTGTAGTCTTATCATGAGTATATGTATCATGAAAGGAACAAATTTATCGGCGTTACTCTGTTACAAGCATCGACATTTATTTAATCAAAGACTTTTTTTACAGCTGATTTGGTAGTGAGTTGACTTTTACTGGGTACCCAGCTGGGTTAATTTTTAAAGTCTGGTTGCGAAATCAGCCGAAGAAGCATTAGAGTAATGTAAAATATTCAAAAGACAAACACAGAATGCGCGTTAGCAATTATATCTAATAACAACAATCTAACCTTAAGGTTTTCAAATTCATAGTTGTGAAGAGATAAGGTCCTCAGTTCAAATGTGACAGGATTGAAATTCATTACAGCAACCTGGGAGTTAAAGAAAAAAGAATAATAGAATTTTACCTTAGCTTCCGGAAAACTCAGAAGAAGTGAATCTAAAAGATCACCTGTGAAGCGTACAGTAACAATATCAGCGATATTTTCGTATACAGATGTTCCATACACCCAATTTAATCGTGTTTCTCCAGAAGCACTTGCAAAATAATACGAGAAGCCATTAAACTTACCTAGATTTAACATTATATATTTCAATGAATCCACCGCGAGTAATTACAAGGTTTTTCAGTTTAGGATGAATCAGGTGGCAATAAAGGCAATTATCTACAGCGGTTGGTGGTGAAATATGCCTAAAAACTGCACTAAACGTTGTTGGCTTAGTAGTGTCAACCCCAGTGTTCATCCTGCTTCTGACTTTCTAAGTATGCGCTGCTAAACAGCCCGACCTTCTACGGCTAATTTCAACTCTCAATTGTACAGATAGTGAGAACAATTATCGATAGAAATCACTCGAATTAAACTACTTTCGTATTGATGTGGAGAGATTGTTTCAATATCTCTGGTAACAGTATATAATATGTAGCGGTTTGTGTAGAGATTGACAGTATTGTATGTGTTAGGATGAGGAGGTAATAAAAAAGAATTAGTATTTAAGTGGGACTAGGATATTTCAGCGATCACATTTAGCAGTGTTTGAATGGAATTTCAAACCTGTTTTTGTCCAGTATGTCGGTTTGAATGCTGAATTTGTTGTTTTCTATTCAAACTAGCTCAGTCAAGCTCATTATGGACACATGCAAATATATTGAGAAATGGATTATACATGCTACTACGCTTCTGTCCTGGAGATGAGAGTCTGAAATACAAAAATTCCTCTGAGCCGCTGAAATGCTAAAAATTGCTGTCAGCATGTACTGCATTGCTTTTCCAGGTACTTATATATGAGGGCCAACTTTTCTATGCAACTGTGTCCAAGTCGGTCCGCAACTGTATCTGTTCTAGTAGTAAACAAATCCCCAAAATCAGTAACGGCATTACTCTTTCATGCTTGCTTAATGTGCCTGTAAATTTGGATAACTCTTCGTCTTCACCTTTTGATTTATAGACCGTTAGGACGTTATCGAGTAACGGTTAACAAAGACGACTAATATACGAAGTTTAGGGATACTATCGAATATCGACAACCACAGTATGAGCTAATGGTCCTTTTTTACTTGACAATCCACATATTACCAATTCCAAATAAGTAAGTTCATTGGTGTTCATCTAGTTCTACTTTCTGTAAATTTCACGAATTCGGGAAGTTTTAATTAGTACAATAATTTTAATACTTCTAATCATTATAGTATCTCACCACATACTACACATCTCTTTACAGCATCGTCCGTCTATATAATCTGAATGGCTTTGTTTTTGTAGGTAGACTGGTGACATGCGAAATTGCATATATATATATTTACCAATTAACTTTAGAGGCTTCCATTCAAAGTCAACGACACTTGATTTTATTTTATCAGTCTTTTGATTGCATATCTTTTGAGTAATTCTTCATAATCACATCGTATTTTGAAACGTCTCGCTTTCACTGCGTGGTATTTATTTTGTGAAAATGTAAGACCCCTTCATGTACGTTTTTATTATTGTATTTTTCCTTCTTCACCTCTAATGATGTCTATATGCATATTCATTATTGTCATCCTCTGGTTTGTCTGAAATTATTATATTATACTTTCAAAAAATTCTCAATAGTGACCAACTTCTTGACATCACCTGGGTTTTTGATAACTCTTTAACATTTATTCTACACGTATTTTGTCGGTGGCTATTTTTTGTGACTACTCGGGATTACTCGTGTTTGATTTAGCTAATTGTGCTTATTCCTGAAGGAATGAGAAGTTTCCTATTTGCTGTGAACAGTTTTTGTATTAAAAAGTGACGTAGTCACATGGTTTTACACTTACGGTTTGGTTCCCAACTTTTAAGGCTATCCGAATAGCTAATTTGCTTTCAGACAGAACATTGTCCCTGGGTCATCAGAAATACTTTTCTTGTCTAACAGCTGGTTGTACAAGGTATCACCACTTTTTGCTACCGTTTCTGATGAAGAAAGTACTATCAGTGTATATCGTGTTCATTTTTATGCTCATATTTATTCTTGCTAGTACCACATTGTCATTACTTGTGAACACTTTATCTAGGTTATGGTATACAAGTTAGTGTTCATTATCGTCATTCGGTCCCATAGAACAGAAGCGAATCGTAGAATCATTGTCTTGAACTGAGCTATTGAAATTCACAGTATTTCAGGTTTTTACATTTGCTCCGAATCCGAAATTATACATAATATCATTACATATACATGTGCGTTTCTAAATATACCTATATCTAAACTCACCCTAAAAATGTTCATCAGCGAATAATGGCTCGTTATCGAATCAACTCCCTTTAATGGCTACTTCATTCAACCTATCGAGTTGACAAAATCTAGTAACGCTACTGGTCTTTGAAAGCAACAACAGCAAAACGAACAACCTAACAAACCACTTCTAGGTGCTTAATCGGTTGTGCAGACAAAGATTAAAGTTTATTCTACCAGGCATGTGGTAATTTGAACCGGTTTGATGTCATACTAAATGCTGGTGGTAGCCGAGCAATGGTTATTCCTGTCAGTGTCATTATAACTCGTTGTTGGAGCCCCATATGGAGAACCGCATATTAAACTTAAGGTATTTTAATAAGTGTAACACATCACACCAACTTCGTCCTCAGTATATTTTAAGACCGTTAGTTTCACACACAGGGTCATTGAAGCGACATTGATTTCATTTATGTCTATCAGTAAACGCTGGGCGGGTTACAAAAACTCATAAAAAATGACCGATTCGGCATAAATAACAGATTGTGTGGGATTGACAAGTACAATGGCGTTGTTTTTTCGGCCTTCTACTCTACTCCTTTTTTATGTTTTCACACAAGTACAATTGTGTCTGTTAAAGGAGCGGTTCACCCTGGTTCCAAGTTTAGGATATTCAGACCACTGTTCCTCTTGAGGCCTTTCTTTGACTGAAAAGACCTCGGCATTAGAGGACTCCATGATTTCAAGGATACGGTCAGCAGAGGCAACCAGCTCGTCTGCGGCGTTGTTTTGAAACGAGACAAGTACTCCTTGCATCTATTGAGGATGTTTGTATGAAAAATATTGTCTTAATAGGCCACCATCGAAAGTTCTTTGGGCGATAACCTCTCTCATCTTTGGCAACATGCCTGTCGAAAAAGCATATCGCAGGCTGACATTAGTAAGGAGTTGGTCTAAACCTTGTCTATCGATCAGATCGTCGCCTTTCAGAATCGACCGTTTTAAGGTTTCGTAAGGTTACGAAACATCACTACTAATCATACTAGGTTTGACGTACCTGTTGAATTAACGCGGTAGTATCTTTACAACCTCTAAGAATTGTGCGCGTGGATCATTCATTCCGTGCTTATAGAAATTGGCCTTTGCATAGCAGAACCAGGCTTCGATATTAATTGGCCAGTACGGCATTAGTTGAAACGAAGGTGGGGACATAGTATTTAACTTAAATACTTTGGGTGTTGGTTCCTTCATAGTGAAAAATCGAGTATGACAATGAATAAAGAAAAGATACATAACTAAAAACTCGAAAAAATATGTCACCATACATACAAGCTGACATACAGCGATGATTCGTGAAGTTCCAAAAAGGAACAGACTCACAATTTATGGGTTGGTGTACCAGATCACGTCGGGCTTAAAAATGAGAATACCACAAATATTTTAGTTTGAAAACATTTTGCCAGTAACACCTATAATTGAATAGCGCCCACCCACAGAAATCAAAAGCCAGAAGCGATGAGATTGAAAGACATAAATAGATTTTCAATATATCGAAGAGTGACTGATCTAAGCCGGCTAGTGACCGTAGGAGACGTCGAGAACGCCGTTCCAACTCGTGATTTGATGCGGATGCATGATCGAGCACCTTCAGCCAAGTGAGCCAATAAAACTAACGTGGTCAGTATCCAATGACGAAGACTTACAGAGCTTTTGATTTTGGGGATTTATTTACCGCTACAAATACTTCGCTTTGGGATTGTTGTTTCCAATCTTTTATTTATTCTTCAGGTAACTAGTCTGTCCTTACTCAAAAATTGTCTTGTTTGACATTTTTTGGACTTAAAACCCTTATTTCGTTGTCTTTTTGTGTCTTTGTAACTCCCTTATTGACTAATCCAAATAACTAGTAATCAAAAATGAAAAGCTGAAAAATTCTCACGTTTGAATAGACTCCTTTCAATGAAAGAAATGCGATGACGGAATCTCATTGAACTCTTTAGTTTATTGTATATCGCGTGAGAAAATCTAAGGACTCATCGTTCACTGATACTTGTTTTACCAAACTAATATTCATTGTACTGAAAGTAATATTCAAATTTCGTTGGTTAAAAAGTGCAATTGGTTTTCGTTCTCACGAAGTCATTTAAGTAATTGTTTGAAGTTATAAACACATAATTCTATTTAGTAATAACTTAAATGTAAAAAACGCAGTTTTGTATCAGTTTCCATTTTGAAAATTTGTCATTCGCGCCACTGGTTATGATAAATGCATAGGGCATACTATTTATGCGTTGTAGTAATTCTATCATTTTCCATACCGATTTTAAACTCATTGGACACTTGTAGCGTTAAAAATTTATTTGGTCAATATGTGTTTTATTTTGAAAAAGGATGAGTTGAAGACGTCGGAGTCTAGTGTTCCACTTCTGTGATTTTTTTATATTTATTGATAACTCTCAATTCCTTTTTGAATTCATTTTTTATGACATATTGTTAGCAACATTTCTTAAGTTTTCAGAATTAAGGTTCTTTTCGGAGCACTTGAGATAAATTTGAAAATTTCGTTATCGAAACCCCCTGAAAGTTATCATGCATAATCCTCCCATATCATGCTCGATTAAATTCTATTCTGAGACCGTTGATACGAACAAATGTGGGATACTGGCACAAAAACACTGTTCACAGACATCAATTGTTGGCACATGGCGTGAAGACAGTTTTATGATTCCTGGATGAACCGTCTACAATAGCTCATATTGATTTTGTTTAATATTCGTTTTAGTACATTCTTCAGCTTATTACAATTTATTTAAAGACTTGATGCTTTTCAGAAACGAATAGTTGATGATCAGTTAGTGAACAAGCTATATTATGTGCTCAACTGTAAGTATTGTATAACATCTCGAATCATATATCACTCCTAAGTTCGATAGCAGGACAGAACCTAAAGTCAGTTATCATGATGTATGAATACAAAATTGACAGACTTCACATATGGTATACAAACCAACAAGATATTTATAATGGCGCACTATAAAGATGCCATCAGATCTCTAACTCCTGAGGATACACAAGTCTATTTCTTGATGGAATCTGGTATCTCTCTACAAAATATGTAGTTTTAGACCCTAAAACTACATTGCTTCTTTGTATTACATCGTAAATGTGTCATACATTAACTTCGTTCAAATGTATGAAAACCCACATTCTAGTGTTTTAAGCCCAGTTTCAGCTGCGAATATGTAAGTTAAATACAAAAAGTGCCTGTTACATGAAATACCTATAATAGAGTTTGTCTGACCGCAAGTTTCGGAGTATATTTTATTCAAGTGTAACCTTATGTGGCCTTTCATTCAGTGTTTGGACAGTATGTTTGATATCATCTTTGTAACAAGTCCCATTATAAATTTAAAGTCTTTGTAGAACAGAGATTTTTGTTTCATGAGATACTAATATCAGTTGAACCATGGGGTCTTTTCTCAAAAGGTAGTGAGAGATCATTTAGTGTGACATCCTTTTTCCAGACAACCGATATGCATACAGTGACTTAAAAAGATTGGGTTAAATATTTTTCTTTAAAAGATAAAATACTTTGAAGTTTTCTACCATGTGAAATCTGTTAGGGAAAATTTTACTGATCATTAGTATCAAATGGCCAGTTTATACTTTCTGAATCCACTAATATGTAAAACAAAAACATTTGTTAGAATTATATTATAAACAGAGTGTAACAACTTTTGAGTAAAGTATCCCTTGATGGGTTGTTTTATATATTGTTCCTATTCTTTAACATGCAACTTCTTAACAGAAAGTGACGTCGTTACTATTCTTTCACTGATAATCATTGTTTATACACTTGATACATGATACAACTAGTTGTATACACTCTTACTGATCATAGATATTTTGTAGTATTTAAACATTTTTGATTACGATTTGTCATATATCAAGTGTTTAGTACTAATTTTGCAGAGAACATATTAGTCAGTTTATCTTCCTTGAAAAATTGTTTAATTTGGAGCCATATATAGAGATGCAAGTTGAATAGTCCAACTAAGCAAACTCTTGTTACAGTGAGTTTTTCTCTCTGGTTCAAACATACAGTTAGATCTAAAATCGTCCTCTGAAACAACGTGTTATTAAATAACCAAATTCTTAGTTTTGACTAAATGACAAAGATGGGTTTGAAAATTATTTACCAGAAAGGCTTGAATGTGGCAAATAACTACTTGATAGCTATGTATTATTTTATCTAAAATAGGAGCTTCAACAGTATTATCGAATACCTCAATTAACTATTGTCCCATAAAAATTGATAGTCTGAAAACTAATAGTTCAAACCGAAGATATAAAATTAGTTCTTGCTATAAGTCGGAAAATGGATTAAAAAGCTGAATATATTTAAAACGTTGAAGTTTATATCAGTGAAAAGTGAAAACTTGGAACTAGTAGCCTTTTGACGCAGAATAGTTCAATAATAAATGAAGATTTGTGCCATATATGTTTGTCTTGATGAGACTGTTCAAGCGATTTAGTTTTCAGATGTAGGATATTGCAAATAGAAGTCAACTATATGAACAGATGATGTTTGATACTACGTGCTTATGACCATTGTGTTCGGTTTCATAAAGTACGAGTTTTCAGGTGCTAGAGTTTCTTTGTCGATCAATCAAATATGAAATTAAGTAACAATATTTTTATGATAAATTCAGAATCAAGGAGAATTGAAAACCAAACAGTCTATTGGTATGGAATCTGATGATAGCTGCGAAATATCCTCGGTAATTACAAGAGCAGATACCAAGTCTGATTTATCTGATAATCATATCAGTGGCTGGAGTAGTCATCAAAATTTAAGGAAAGCAAACTATCCAAGTTGCGATGGCTACCTATCAAACGTAGAGGTATTATCAGATAGTTGCCCAAACAAACAATTTCACATATTTTTGCTAAAGCTGAGAGGTGAGTTACTCTGCTCGGATTCCAATCGTTTACCTAGAACAAAGAAGGAAGATTAAACTCCTGGAACAAGAGCGTATTGGCTTTTTGGAACAAATAGCCAGTCTCTGTTCATCTTTAGAAAAAAAGCAACAAGAGTTGGTTGACGTTTTGAAACTTTCGGAAGAAAAAGCTAAATATCACGCTCATTACATGACGGAGGTTTGTTTGTAATTCCCCATTGTTTTTTGTCATGTTTTTATTGATGTTGCATGTAGTGTATGTAAGTAGATTAACTGTCTGCACAGATGTAGTTGTCTTATAATTATCTAGTTGTTTCACCATGGAAAGTCACAGTTTTTGATAGCAATAAGATCACTCGTTATTTCATTTTATTACAAGGACATCTATATTTTTAATCGGCTTCAACTGTGTAGCCAACTTTGCATATGACACAGGTGAATCATCATCTGTTTTCATTTAAAATTTCAGGAAACACCCGCATAGACCCATTTAAAATGAGATAAAAAACTGAGATTTACGCCAAACGCATTTTGGATTTTAGGTTATTAGACATTACCATTTATTTCACTTTATGATGTATTATACCACCTCATGAGGTATAAAATTTGAATATGAACGCAAAAATGTCATCGAGAAGTTGACTGTATGCAGAGTAAAACCTAAACATACTTCGGTTAAGGGACAAAGGAAAAAACCAAAATTATTTTTCTCAAAATGGTTTATTAATGTATGACGTACCGAGTTTTTTCGTCATTGTAAGATAAGAGGTTAGAAGAGCACTGGTAAGCTGAGAAAACCAAGTTATGATTTTAGTTTCTAAAACGTATTTTGTTATTACATATCAGCACATCAAAAGATTATGTACCTCACTTGAAAATGAACTCCTAGGTCAACTTAAGGACTTAAATTATAAATGAGTTCTTATCAACTCTTATTCTGTGATTTTTTTACACTCTTGAAACAAAAATGAAAAACAGGTTAGTAGTCTACTAGCCGAACTGAAAACACTATTTTCGGAGCATTCAAACTGTTTTAATCCAGAAAATCAGATTTTAATAGATCAGGGTGAACTTGGGGATAAGAATGAAGTTTCAAATGGTACCGGTACTGAAAAAGTACCCTCCAATTCCACTATTGGTTCAATGAAAGGCGCTCTTCGTTCGGAATTTCAGAAAGATCATCGTGGTCGTGCTCTAATTAATGCACTTTCTACTACTGTAAATGCTGCCAAAAATATGAACAGCAAAAAATTGTCGAAAAGCGATCATCCTCCACAAACCCAACAAATATTTGGTAAGAATTCTTTTATAATTTCTTATAAATTTCGCGGTTATTTTCCTTTTGGGTATTATAAGGGTTGGTAAACTAGTATGTAATTAATTCGAATTATTAAAAGTGGATTTTAGTGTATAATATACATTTTATGAAAATAGAGGTATAAATTGTTTGAATATTCAAAAAGCACCCTTAAAGAAGACGTGGATCGAAAAATGGAAATAAATATATCGTTACAAAATGGTCAGCAGTGACAATAGAATACAGAGCCACTGTGTCCTTTCTACTGGAGATAAATTTGGGCTATGTTATCAAGAATGTCTGCTTATTAAATTTCATAAACCACATTCTTCTCCAAAAGACCTTGATTGCCTTCATGATCATGACCAACCGGTACAGTATCTTGAATTTGATTACTTTTAAAATCCTACTATATTTGAGTAAAGTGAACAGTCTGACTTTTTATTAAGGGTGAAACCGAATATGGAGTGAAAAAGTTTCGAACTTGTTTTCATGGTCCGTCATTATATCTATAGCCTTTAGAATTTACTCATGCCACTTATCGAGAATCTTAACCGTTTTCGATTAAATGATAGTTATATTAGAGTGATGCGTCTTTTCATACACACCAAGGGGTTGGTATTAACAATCTAAAATGAGTATTGTAGTTACGTAAGGTACAAATATTCCGCATATCACACTCTAGAATACGGAATATAGTGAAACAGAGTCTAGGATAGTTTCGCATCAGTTGATGTCCCTATCAAAATGTTGTAGTGTTAAGAGATGACCAATGAATCATGGCTTGTTTTTTGTACCAAGATTCCTCTTTGGCGTCCATGAAAAATAAAGAAGACCATGGGAAACTGTGACTTCTTAAACATAGATTTTAGAAGCTGGAGATATCTCGAGTAGAGGCTTGCAAGTAAAATAATGTGTGCTAAAATTAGGTACACTGTAAAATATCTTGAAGCAACAGTTTTGACATAATTTCTAATATCTCTTACAATTACTTATAACATGAACTGATTTTATTACAACACTAGAATAAACAGTTAAACTGACTTTGTTCGTTTGTTTTGTTGATCTCCTAATAATTACTAATTTACATTTATTTGCACTCCTTCACTTTAAGTGGAGATTTCCTCACGGGTTAGTGATCATTGATTCAATGTGTGTTTTACTCTTTGTAGAGACTTTTCCCATAAGCAAAGTCTTCACTTCATAGTTTATTTACTTGAAAAACATACAAACCGTCTAACTAGTTAGTGCAATATTTTATTTCAAAGAATGTTTAGACTAAAATAATTAATTGGCTTTTTATACCATTATTCCACGGTTTCTTCTTTCTGCCAATGTACACCTCATAAATTCTTGCGTCATATATATATCTATATATATATATATATATATATATTTGGAGAGAGAAAAGCAAAACTACGAATGAGTTACGTTACCTTCAGGGTAGTTTACGTTTGAACACTGTCTTTTCAACAAAGACTGGTGAGAAATTCCAAATTAAGCATGATCTCGCTATAAAATCATCAGTAGTTCTGAATTTAATTAAGGTCTCATTTCCCCTCATTTTTAAGTTTTCCTTGTTTTAATTAATGACAGTTTGAGTTGTCTAGTAGATTCAAGCGAAGGAAACCTGAATATGGTGTTTAGAGAAACTGAGGAATCTTCAGGAATCGGTGACCGATTTTTTGTTCAAATTAAGGTATCTTTTCATGCCTCTTCAGAATTTGTAGACTGTTTAAAATCCATTATGTAGCCCTTCCTAGGTGTAGAAATTACTGTGTTAACAAAGATTTTTTTTGCGGTCAACTGGTTCAACACACAGTTTAATTCGAATCATTCGTAAAGGTTTTTAACTTGACCAATATAAAGTTTTAGTCAAGCGTGATGATTTCTAAATCATAGCCACAAGTTCGTGGTTTCAGGAAAATATCTACGTAGTTTTAAGACATTTTCCTCCACTTCTTATGGCTTTGCTTTGTAAAGAGACTATTTTCTCAATATTGAGTCTCATTTGAAAAATCCTGAACCTGTTTAAATAATAATATAATCATGATGAATATACACCTTTATATTCTAATTTTACTTTACTTAAGTCTATTATATTTACAACCAAATACCAATCTTACCTTGTTCCGTCAGTAATTAATCTATACACGATATCGTTTTCCGTATTAACTCCTAGCATAAAATATAAATGAATAACATTTAACGTCATTAAATAGGTCATTTGACCTTTAAAAATACCTATAATAGGGTTGAAAGTCTTCGTATTACCCTGTCTTGTTTTATTTTCTTTAATATTTTTGTTTGTATGGACGATATTAAAATTTTTTTTTTTGAATTCGCGTGCGAGACCGCAGGACCTGGGTTCGAGTCCCGTATGTGAGACCGTGGATGTGCACTGTTGGGTGGTCCCATACTAGGACGAAAAGGCCGTTCAGATCTTCCAAGTTTTCAATAGTGGTCTAACATTGATCCATTCATGATATCAATATAAACTCAACAATCTCCACAGCACTGTACTTATAATTCTAAAGCTACCAGGCGGACGTTTTCCCAGATTATTTTTATTGGAAAAATTTAGTTTTACCTAGGCTAGATGCTGTAGTTAAACCAGTTCCTTTGCAGTTGCTTCTTATAAGCGTATAAGAACTCTAATTGAGTAAAGAATTTTTAAATTGAGGGTTTGTATAGTTTTTTTTATAAAAGACTATGATTTCGATCAGATTTGTGGAATTCATCATCTAGTTGAATTTGTTAAGCTATAAGTAAATATATACTGTATACATATATACATTTGCCGCTTGAAATATTGGTTTTCAGGAGTAGGTAAGCCTGTATTGGTTTGCGTCTAGTCAAAAGGTACTTTGTGTACAAGGGGAATATGCAAAGTATCGTGCGTGACGAGGATTGAGAAAGAGAAGAATATAAAAAAATTAAGTCGAAGATCCAGTTACGGTACACAATGCTCTTACATTTATTACAGAAAGCAATAGATAGCGCTGAGTAGTAACATAAACCTCAGATTATGACAAACTTGGAATCGAAACTAGGAGCAGATAGTTAAAGCCAATACGGTCCTCGTAGTTTAAACGTGGCGGATATTTTTGAAATGTTTGTTTATATGATGTGTCTAGTTAAGTTCCGTTTTAATTATTTAAATAGTTTAAGCAAATTAAGTTATTGATTTTTCTTAGCTTCATATAGATTTTTCTGCTTTGCATCTAAAAAAAATTTGATTAATGGTCACCAGGATATAAAGACGAAGAAATCATAAAACAGTTTTGTGTGAACTTTTCTTGTGATACATAATGTGACAGTTTGTGAAAAAATTATCCCTGACATGTTATTAAGCTCATTCAGATGGAATTTTATAAAAAGTGATGATTGAGCGTGTTTAGTGAATATATCCTGGTGTAATGATAAACCGCAAGACAGAATCGCTCTGATTTATTCTTCGGTTTTATTGTTGTTGTTTTTTTGACTGATTATTCGTTATCATTTTGAGTTTGTTTATTAGGTTTTTATATTCTGAATACACTTAAGTGCTGACCGGAAACAGAATAAAGACATGAAATGTCTATCAAAATACGAATTTATGTGATATATATATATATATATATCCAGTCATTAGTTATATCTGTGGCCGAGTGGATGATTAGTTGATGTGTGGCTCGATAGAACCACCAAACAGGGGGCAGCGGATTATCGGTTGGAACGGTGATACGAAACCCGAACGAGCAGACTAGAGTGCTAACCGATCCTGCGATCTGCCTAACCCAGCCAGTTGAGTCCAGAACACAAATAACAGCCTCGGCAATATGGATCATTATTTACAAACATACTGGGTTTTTATACAACCCAAAGTAATGAATAACTGAGTATAACTCAAGAATCGTATGATAATAAATCAAAGATCAAAATAAAGCTCATTATAAGAGAAACACGAGTATGAATAGTTTAGTTACGTAACAATTGTACAATAGGAAATAGGCATAATACATTGGTCGATAAATAGACCTAAAAGTTAACATTCGTAATTCACCGGGGGATATAACACCTCCCCTTTTTGAGAAATCCGAGCTCCTCCTCCACCACGAAATAGTGTTGGATCCTCATATACCCAAGTTTCTATTAATGCGATTCTATTTATAACATGTTTCTGGCATTCAATAGGGAACCTGCTAAGATTGACTGGACGGTGAGGATCGACATTTGATGTGAGGTTAGAATTTGATTCTGCAGAAATGTAGTCATTAGACTTATTGCAAACATCACTGGCAGGTTGTGGATCACTATGATGAACAGCGTCCACCAAAACTGCGCTAGGTTCCAGATTTGATGCATGTAACAAATTTTCTGGACAAGCTTGGGAATCTTTATCATTAGATTCGGTAAAAATTTCTATTGCAGAATGCGATTCGCTCCGTGTACTGCTCAACATAATGTCTGGTACTTTTTGGGCGGTTAGTACGACCATTTCATGGGCATTTGACATGGCATCATGTTGATGAGAGCTGGAAGCGTCACTGTTCGGACCTGCTAATTCAGGGATAGTGGGGTTTGAATCCACTACCGGGCACGTTTCTGAAATAGGTAGTGATGGACAACCGGGCGTCTCTTGAGAGACTGCTATTTCGTTTGAGTTGCGGCTGGTCGAGGATTCATGGAGGCTGCGATCATTTTTCAGCTCTGTGTGCAATTCAGAGATTAATGCATCCACTTCCGACGCATATGTGAGGCACTGGTGATCTAGAAACTGTGTGCGTAATTTGACCATGAACTCCAGATGTCGGTCGAACAGCAACTGTAATCGGTCAGAAGGGAGCGTCATTTTTCACTGTATGAATAATGACAAAATGGCATTCACGGACACCAAAGAGAATGTTGGATGCTGATTGCACCAAATGATTGCCTGATTTTCGAACAATTACAAACTGACCTTTTTTTGTCCCCGTCGCCAATTGTTATATCTTGGGGCCGAGTGGATGGCTAGT